TTCTAAGAGTATTAATCCTATATAACTTAAAAGATGATACTTTTTAATCATTACTAAGGAATTAATTTCTTCGAAGTTACTTTTGAGAGTGATACCTATTGATATGTCTGCGATTTCATGATTAACTGACCTTATTCCAATCCACTTAGAAAAGTTTGTATTTGCTGCTTGTAGTTTAAGTTCTCGGTAAATATTACACAATCAATATTCGCTTCTATTTTATTTGTCATTCAGCGCTTTATAAACTGCAAACATGAAATGAAACGATTCATATTAGATATCTTCAGGCAGTAAACGTAAGTTATGTGATAAAATAAGTGAAAATTCTCCATTACGACTACAATTAAGATGTAAAATATGGGTGGATCATGTTATAGTTTTATTTGAATGATTAATAGATTGTTTGATATAATGTTAAGTAGGTTTGAAGTGGTTATCACTGTCAAATTTTACAAGATGTAGTGTGTTTACATCATTCAATGGTTGGAGTTAGTTGGAACAAGTCAAATTTCGTGCTAGTTTACAACCGCCAGTAAGATATACCTGCAATCTGGAGGTGGCTGATGTTACTTGATGATCTCGAACTCGGGTCACACAATTTTAGAAGTTGTCATTGAGGTATTAAGACTTCAGTTGACCTTCTATAGTGAATACTGAGTGGTCAATCAACTGTTTACTTTCATTTTAAAAGTAATCATTGGTGATTTCCGGTCTCAATAAACAATTAGAAGTTTACAGTTTGATACTTCTAACATCTGATGAACAGCAAAGTATTAATAATGTTTTCAACAGTAGGAAAGTTGTATCTACTCTTCAGAGTATAAATCTACTTTTTCCCCATCGTGTTTGCATGAATTTCTGAAGTTAATAGCACAGAATTATTATTATTATTATTATTATTATTATTATTATTATTATTATTATTATTATTATTATTATTATTATTATTATTATAAGAAGCCTTATTCAACATTATACTTTTGGTACAACATAGAATTCTCAGCATAAGGTATTTCGACAAGTTTCTTTTTCTCATATCTTGATCGATTGTGACGATAAATTTCGAATGATGACCAGTTAGATGTTAGGAATTCGGTAATCCACATTTGATTAATGTTCATTCGTTTCATTGCATATTGCCAGCCACCATGATGTCGCTGATTGTACCTTTCTGTATCCCGTATAGCGAAAGGTTGTAAACTTTTCATAAACGCGCCCGAATAGATTGTGAGCACAATCGACATATTGATGTGCTAAAACAAACAACAAAACAGATAACTTGAAGAAATATCTATATCGAAGGAACAGGTAGCCCAGATATTCAAGCAGGCCGCCGGATCATTTTACTCCACTATTTTCGCTGACGGTGTTAACCTATGAAATATATCCCTTCATAGTCTCTTCAGATCACTTTATCAGTTGCATAATAGTAATCAGAAGTTTTGAGTCAAGAGCAAGTCTTTCTTCATGACTCAATCATCTCACTCCATGGATGTAAGTCATGTTTTTGAAATGCCCACAAGTATAACTATCCACTAAGCTGATTAGACAAAAAGAAAAATGAATTACTTTGAAAGATTTTCCATTTAGTGAAACTTTGCCTGGTCACTTAATTGACTGCTGATATATGACCCCTAGTTTGACACACACACACGAATGCAGATGATGTGACCTCCCACCACGCAAAGAATAAACGGAGTCTTTAATCCTTAAACAATAGTAATAATAATTTATTGATCGAACTGGATTAAGAAATTGTAAACTAATAAGGTTTTTTCAAAATGCAACAGCTACCTAGTCATTAATTATCGATCAGGAATAAAGATGATGGTTTTTACTTTCATAGCACCCAGCCATAGTTTTCTCTATCATTACATAATGCTTATTATAACATCATTACAATTCAGCCAATCCTCAAGGAGACAAGTTATACTATTGTCCGATTGTAGCATGCCACTTAGATATGCCAAAAAGCTTCATCACGTTTTGATTAGATGGAAACTCTTCAGCTCCTTTAGGGCCTCTGGTAGCTCCGTCGTAATTCTGGGAAGCTGTCCCAACACCTCCCCAAATTAGATTTCCTCCTTGGGTCCACTTGTAACCTGGCAGCCGGTTTTTGGTGATGTTTCATATTTTCACTGTCTTTCTTGTCCAAGTCTTCTTTTCAGTATTCTTGGGCGTATATGTCGTTGATGTATCTGAGATTAACTCTTATGGAAGACTCACCTGGTTATCTTGGGTGTACATCATTTTTCAGTCTTGATGGATTCAGTTCGTGTGCCTGATACATGTCCCAAAAGCTCCTCGGACTCTATACAAAACTCTTCCCAATCTTTGTATGATTTCTGTCGGTTCCCGTTGATTCTCTCCGAGGTGGGACTTAACAAACACTATCGCCAGCATTAGAACTCGCTCTGTGCCCATCCACTATTTTGGGTGGTAACATGGCGTTGAGAATAGTCCGAATATGTCTTCCAAACATGACTTCAGCAGGGGACTTCCCACCTGGGACAGTTGGGTTCAGAGTAGTTCTGTAAGTCGTTAAAAAAATCCTATGATTACCTGTCTAGTTGGCGGAGATAGAAGTAATGTTCGCAGATTTGCCATTGATGAATTAACAGAAAACCTTAAGTCCCAGATGCATCTTATCTTAAACCTGACTAATTTTATGGATTATTAATTTGGATATATAACTGTAGAACCTGATAAGAAATTATTGAAAAGAATATTCTTCGTTCATATAATTGTATCCAAGAATAATATGTATTTGTTTTAAATATAGCTTCGTATAAGCTCTAATTCAGCAATTTGAACACGATGATAAATCCTACACAAATTAAATCAAGAAATCAATCATAGAAACTAATAGTATCCGAAACCCCTAAATAGGTAGATGTATGTATGCTATGTGATAAGCTGATAATAGGAAGACTAGTCCATGTTTTCTTCAACTCAATGAAGCACGTTAAGACATTCGTTTTCTTCCTAAAGTAAAATATTGATATTGGTTTTATTCCTTCTTTACGATATCCAGTAATAAGATTGTTTCAGGTCAGCATGTTAAGTGTGAATTTTGTTCAATACAACAGTTATATTCTTTGTATTAATCATTGTGAACTTCACATGCACTTTACAGTAACTTTTTTTCATTTATATGATGCTTATTAACTAGTCATTAGGCTTAAGCGTGTGTAAAACCAGTGCATAAATGGGCATATTAGGTTTGTTAATGATGTGGTTACGGATGAGTTTTTTTTTTTAGGGGGGGGATGTCTTTTCAGAGAGTTGATAAATCGTCATTTATATCAGTATTTGTGTTCTTACATTGCGTCGTGGGAGTTCCAGTGGTTCCCGTTTCCTAAGCATAAGCAGTAGAATCATGGATACAAATGAACCGACAAGTACATAACCGAAGCAACATGGCTATAAAAATAGGTTGAGTTTGGTTCTCATTAAACCCTCTCAACTTCAATGCACTGTGTGGATTTACAGACGATGGCGATGAATGCTATCAGTATCACAGAAAAATAGACGTTAATGTGTGTTTCAAAAAATCTTTCTTCATACTAAGTCAAATTTCGACACGAAAAACGCTAAATTTAAATTCACTGAAAATAAATTACAAAAGAGATATGGGTTTTACGTGTTGTTTTGTGAATCCATCACTTCTAAAAGTAATATGCTAAAAAGATTATATTTCACAGATTCAGTGAATACTGGTTTCCATCATAACTGTTACCTTCACTAATAATGCCAAATATTCCATCTAAAGTTATTCTTAAACCGATTGATCTACATGTAGTAATTTGCTTAAGATTTCTATTAGATAAATGATGTACCATCTCCAATCTTTATTAAACAATTATTCAATATAGGGTCTTGTGGAGACTGTTGTATTTTATCAACTGAATTCACGGGTTAACCCAAACTAGACCGCCATTGGAAATCTAGAAGCAATGGACGGCTGTCTCGTCCTAGTAGGGGACTCCTCAGCAGTGCGCACGTAAGACTCGAACCCAGGATCTTCGTTCTTGCACGAGAACGCTTAAACTCTAGACCGCTAAGCCGGCATCTAACGATGTTAATGTTTAACTCCAACCAATCCACGTTATTGCACCACCGTCCATCGTTGTCTTCAGTGAGTAATTGCCTCACAACAGACATGGTTGAACTCCACTGGTCATGGTTTCTCACGAGAACTCGAGGAAATACATCTTGAATCCAGTCACTAGTAAACACATGATGATCTAATAGTTGAATTCATGAGTCGATTTAAGCTAGACTACCCTGGAAGCACCAGACAGCCCTTTCGTCCTAGTATGGAACTCTTCAACAATGTATATCCACTAGGACGAAATGACTGTCCATTGCTTCCAGGTTTTTAATGGTGATCTAGCCTAAATTGACTCGTGAATTCAACTGTTAAAATTAGTCCATAGACAGAAGTTAATAATTTCAATAATTTCTTCCATTTTATTTAATTAAACCATTCTATTCAGCTCTACCTGGAGCCCCTCCGGGAACTACTGACGGTCCCAAGCCCGGATAAAGGAAAAGGGTCAGGGATAGGGTTAGCGCGACCCCATTCCGTGGAAAACTAACTCGCCAGAAATAAAAGCGCTAAACTATTCTATCCAGTAGGACAAAAGTTAAAAAAAAATAACCCATATTAAAATAGAATGTTTTTGTTCATTCATTTTTTCTTTTCATAAACAATTTAGATTATCATTATTTAAACAAAATCACTACGTTGATTATTTGTCTGTGAACAATCATCCATTGGATAATGAACAGTTTATTTACTTTACAATAATCAATATTCTTATGATCAGTTGATTTTTGATCAGAAATCAATTGAAAATTGATTTCATTTTCTATACATTCAATTCGATCATCAACATGATCTTGTTTTAATTGTAAATTTTGTTTGTTTATTTGATTGTTTATTTCATTTGTAATGGTTGAATTAGACATGATATCATCATCTTTTAGAATATTCTTTAAAGGTATCCTTGTTTCAATGGATAATTGAGATGATGATGATGATGATTGTTGAAGTTGTTTTTCAATTGATGATTTAAAGACATATGAGATTTCTGTTCCATGTTATTCATCATTATTTCTTCACAAACTACAGTAGTTGTACATGGAATAAAATCAGAATGTAATGGTTGACTTGTCTGAAATTATTATTAAAGAAAAAAAGATGTGTGAATTGTTTAGAATTAAAGAAAAAAAACACAGTGTGTAAAACAAATCTTTGCACAAAGATCATTAATTAACGTTAACATTGAAATGTGAATCTGTTGTAGCGCGTGTGTGAGACTGCAGGTTTTGGTAAGCAGCGTTTATATCGATCGCTTCTGTGACAGTGGACACGTAAACACGGACGGACGACCTAGTGCCCTGATTGGTTCCGCTTCGCAGTCTGTCCCAGCCAGTTGAGTCAGGAACACAAGTCACAGCCTCTGAGTTATGAATCATTGTATTTCAGACATACTTTGTTTATATACCAATCAAGCATACCACATCGTACCTTAAAATAGGAAACAACATTTACAAAATATTTAACAAGTGAAATAAACATCGACCAATAAGAAATGTACATTTAAGGTCCAAGGCCACCATAGACTTAACACGATAATTATTGGTATATTTTTCCGACTATCCTAACAGAATCACAATAGTCAGTCAGTCAGTTAACAACGTAGAACTTCGTACGTACGTACATCAGTTCGAGTTGCCACACTACATTAGCACAGAGATGTAGTTTGCTCTTTACGAGCTTTGGTTAGGCGTTGAAGTATTATTGAAGCTAATATTTTATACACTATATTGGTCAAACTGATTCCACAATAGGGCTAACAAATGGAAAACCTTAGGATTATTAGCCTCAATATCATTTTGGTTTAACAACAAAGTGTTAGGAAAAAAAAGTGACTCTGATTGAACTATACCCAAAATCTGGTTATTTGGTTTAATTTCTATTCATCAGACATTCAAGCAAGTAAGTTTAAGAAGATTCTCAAACTAATCTCAATCTGTAGAAAAATCGGTGAGACTGTAATTTATGGACGACCTTTGAGTGACGCTAACCTGACCTTGGGAGTCTTCACCTAGTAACTAGGACCAAATGAGTGTTGTAAACCAGTGTGAGGAATTAGAACTATGATTTACAATTGATGATTAAGGTTAGGCATTATATTAAGGGTTTTCATCACGAACTGGAATGAGCTATAATTCCAAAACTCTATTTAGCCAAATGGATGAGTGAATTTCCGAGATCTGTTATCTTATACCTGACTGGTTCGTCCATAAGTTATAGTCTCGCCGAAAAATCAATTATAAATTAAACAGTTAACTATAATCCTTTTATCTTGATAAGATTCATATGTTAACTAGTGACTAGCTTCAAGTTGGAATTCTCGTAGAAAATCATGATTTTTGAAGCCAACCATGTTAGGTATATGTTGGCGGAATAGAAATTGGATTAATGAATGTTCCATGCAGAACTGTATTGGGGCACTCTGATTGCCTATTTCTTATCCAATCAGAGCTAGCGGATACTTGGAGTAGACTCTAGAATCGTATGTACAAAACTCTAAATATAATAACGTTTCTCTTATTGTGGTTCTTAATTCCATCCAGCTTTTTTATATGGAATATAATTACGTTCCTGTTCAACTGTGTTTAAATTTGGTGACCTATCGAGTGAAGAAGTGTCCAAAAATATTAAGCAGTAAGAGTAGCTGGGTCATAATAAGAGAAAACATAACAGTATGAAAGAGTCATCACCAGTGATACTTATATATATATGATAAATCTGTTGTTTGATTCATTGAAAGGTTGCTGAATATAAAAGTATTACCCTAACTTATAATAAAGTAGATTTTGATTACTCTTTGACTTTCCGTGATCCTCCATTTGGTTCTATTCCAAGATGAATAAATAATATCACAAATGATTTTTTTTTAAATGAGAAAGTTCGTTACTTTGATTTACACTACATTACTTAAGTTCAACATAACGTGTCTCAATTTATTTACTCTAATCAGCATTACCCACTTATAACAGTATAGTATTGTAAATATCCGGAACCAATACCATCTTGAGTTATTGAATAACTGCTTCAAAATAATCTAAGATTATTAATTAATTTTAGTCCTTAAACATAAACACATGAGCAGATCTCAACTCATGATGAATTCTGACAGAAGATAAACAATTCACTTTGATATGTTTATATCAGTCAATCAGCTACAACGTAGGACCAGGCACATGTATGCATCGGTCCAGGTTGCCATACCGCATTAGCACAACAAGATGAACACCGGATTCATAGGAGTGGTTAGGTCAAAGGTGGTAATATATAGGAGAAAGATTGCATATAAGGTTACAGTACAGGAAGAAAGAATTAGTTCGTAGAAAGAAAGATATGAAGTGATTTTAATCTCTTAGTTTAAGGGAAGATAGAGTGTATACACCGACGCCACTGTGATCGATTCTGAGCCATGTCACCAAGAGTCTCCAACTATCGGTTACGATAGTCACGCAGACCCCAACCAAGTAGTCTGCATCTACCAATATGGCTCAGATTAGAGGTTAGTGACTTTAAGCACTGATGCCACGTTTTGGTTTGGCCGCTTCTAACTTTCTTCCAACCATATCCAATACCGGTTAGCATTGCACGTCGTGGTTTTCGGTGTTCAGGCATACGTCACACGTGGCCCAACCATCTCAGTCGATGAAGATTCACAATCTCATCAACTGACTTACCATCATTACCTAATACCCTGCGTCTAACCTCACTATTACTTACCCGGTGATCCCAGCAGACGCCAGCAATATATCTAAGGCATCTGTGGTCAAATACTAGTAGCATATGAGTGTCTTCTACTCTTAATGGCCATGTTTGCTGCCGTAAATTAAAACAGAACGGACTGCCACGCAGTATACTCGTCAACGTGTTCGACTACTTCACTCCCTATCCTTAGTTCAGGTGTTGACACAGACCAGTCCTGAAGCAACAACTTGCTTTTAGAGGGAGAGAAGCGCATTCCAAACATTCTGGCATTGTTGCTTAGTGCTATCAAAATAATATTGAATTTTGAAATTAACTTACTACATCAGTTATTGAAGTTTCTTGATTGAAAACTGAAGTTGAGTTTTCTTGATTTTTTCCATCTAAATCAACTGATGAACTTATTGAAGTCTTATTCATGATTACTTCTTCATTTTCAAAAGCTGGATTATCTACTGGACCAATTATACCACCAATACTGGTACTAGTACTATTAGATAATAAAATTTTACTAGAATCATTTTTATTAATTCCAGTAGAAGGTGTCAATTTTTTATGAACTGAATGTTTTATATCACTAAACAATGGTTTCGATTGTTTCAATTTGTTTTCATCATTATTATTAATATTTGTTCGTTTATTGATTCTTTGGATTTCTTACCACGTACCATTTCTTGTAGTTCTGAAAGTTGATAAGTTTCCCGACCACGTCTTAGTTAGACACTAAAGATTTTTTTAGAAGAAAAAAAAACACAACAACAACATAATTCATGAGACAACAGTTCTTAGTTTTATCGAATAATCTTTACAAGTTTTTTAAGTAATTGATTATAGAACACTAGGTTAATGTCATATTGTCCAGGTAGGTCTCAGTAAAGATGGAATTCTATCAAAAGATTTGATCGCTCTAACAATGCTATAAAGTTGTATAATAACTCCACAAAACAATCGATCCAGATCTCAGATTAGTCAGTTATTATCAGTAAAGTCTACTTAAAATCTCAAGTGAACTGATAAACCTATCACTAACCGTATTAATAGATTATGCTAGTCCGATCTTCCGATGAAAAATGTTATCAAAATTTCTTTGTGATAGGATCACATAAACATTCAGAGAAATCGGCCATATGGTCTCAACATTAGCGGATTAGAGAACGCCTAAAACTAGATAACTATTTCCTATAAAATACTAGAATATCTAATACAACTTATTAAGTGAACTCATATGTTCAAAGATAACCTAGTTTAATCTTTTTAACATACGCATTTCTTTCACCTAAAAGTATATCTCTCAATATTTAATCATTGTTCGTTTAAACTGCTCATTATGCATCACCGGCATACAAGTTACAAATTAGATTGATTTTTAAGTGAATCTTTTTAGAACAAAAGTCAAACAACAATTTTACTTACGAATGAGTACATAGTTTCACTCCTGAAAATTTGCTTAAGTGGTTTTCATATATATAAGTTCAATAAAACTGCTATAGCTTATGCCCTGTGTCTTATTAATGTATAACGTAATGATACCGCCAATTAGAGAACAGTGAATTACCGACCGGATCAATAATGCATAAAACAAGTACAAGTAGTCTAGAATCTCATCGGTCCTGCTTACCGTCTAATACTTGCCAGTTAAGTACAGAACACCAATCTCAGCCTCTGCAATATGAATCATGTATTTCAAACATACGCCGTTTATATACCAATCAAACAGACCACATCGTACCATAAAAGGGAAAATAACATTCGTACAAGATTTAGCCAAATATGGCTGTGAATGTGGGAGATAGTAATTGATTGACCGAGTATAACTCAAGAATGGTGAATCGTGTAATGACAGTTCATAGGTCAAAATAAAGCTCATAATAAGAGAAACATGAATATGAATAGTTTAGTAACTTAATAATTATACGATAAAAATATACTCATAGTATTAGTCCATAAATGGATCCCAAAAGTTACCATTCATTATTCTCATCGGTATATAATAAAAACCGTTTTAAAAATGACAGTCAAAAGAATCAATTGTATCATATACTGAGTACAGTGAGATTTTACAAATCCCCAAATAAATCAAAATCGTAGATAATCATTTACAATAGGTATTACATCAAATCTCAGTTGCATAGTAATAGAACCTAGTTTCACTGTCTGTTGTACTGGCTGAAATCAATGTTTAGGGAATGTTTCTCATTCTGTATCACCTACTAACAAGTACAATTTATAATTTTAGCGACTAAAACTATCAGATTTCTAAACTGAATGAATCACAATTTCCTAAAAGACAGTCAAAAAGCGTTCTTTCTGAATAAGTCTACACTACTGGAGAATTTCAAATAGTCAGTTGATGCAATTCAAATGTTAAAGATCAACAATGTCATTGGGCAAACTTTGAATAGCATATGAATTAATATTAGTAGAAAATTCAGGCGTATTATAATGCATATTGGTCACCAAGGTTCAGATACATACACAGTGAACGATAGTGCGCAACCTGTTGTTCATATACACACTGTTTTACGATTCATTCTCAGTGAAGGCTTGAAAACTACTGCACACTCCCTTAAAATAACAAGTAAAAGTTTCAGATCCGTCTGGTCAATACCTAGAACCTTTAGCCACGTAAGTCTCAAGATCTTTACGTCTTTGTGCACGGTGTTTATTCGTCCTAAACTTGAACATTACACAGAAGTACCTATCTTCTACCTAAATAGACAGGGAACTATTGGAAAAGATTCAAAGAACCTTAACCGAGTTGATCTACTGAGTCTCAAAGCTACCATATGACAAGGGACTGGCTTATCTAAAAGTAGTCTTCTTGTAATAAAGAAGGACTAGAGGTTACTGCATCATTTTATTTGAATTATTTAATAACGGCTTCGTAGATTACATAAATTTAATTTCTTATATTCCAAAACAGAATTTACGACAACACTAAAAACTTTCACAAGCCCAGAACAAATCACTTGTCAACGGATTACTGAATTCCTCGTTAGATCATCAACGAGTGGAACTCCTTACTTCAACACATGGTTGGAAATCCATCAATCTATGCATTCAGAAGAAAGTTGGATTTTAGTGGCCATATATCTGACTCCAATCGGATCGTACGAATGATTGTAATTGAAATATGCATGTCGCTAATTCTAGCATATAATTATCGACTTAACTGAAGTTGGTGAATAACGGATTCAAAATAAGTCAAATAGGAAAAGGGATTTCGAGTAAGTATATTTCATACAACCATTGATCCAGACAGACGATCGAAGAAACGAAGCAAAGAGGAAAGAACGAAACGAAGAGAAATAATGTGCAGTAGAGAGGGCGTGTGAATAAACTTGATTTAACCAAGTGTGAATCGATATTTATAGTCAGACAAAAATAAGTTACAGGCATGTAATGAGTAAGATAAGAAATGCACACACTACGCTTATACAAATAACAGTCAAGTTGAAAAGTAAATAATTAACAAGGTCAAAATGTGACACAAAAATAATGAGTAAATCGACCTGCCCGGAAGCTAGAATAACCTGTGTGGGATTGACATAGCGACCGACACTACAGGATCAACTCAGAAACCTTATATACAGGACTAAAACAGAGTATCTAGCCTTCTATTCTTCCTAAAATGAAGGTGAAACTGCACTGGAACCTTTGATTAATTGAAGTTAATATTGTTGGTATTATAAAAAAAAACATTGATTCAATTTATCTTTCTGTAGAAATACCTCCAATTATTTCTCAGTGCTTCAACATTTATTCCCCCTGATGACCATTAAGAAAATGAACGTGACAGTAGTAAGAAAATCAGGCTTAAAACCTGAGAAAACAATGACGAATAACCGTCGTTTTTGACCCTGGACAACTGTTTACTACCAGCTAGATTATATTTGATTATATTAGTTCAATTTGACCCCATTGTAAATGAGAAGATATGTGTGTAATTAACTGTCCAACATTTTGAGTACAACAAGTTTATTTAACAAATTATTAACCATCAGCATTTCACTATGTAGTCTGTCCAATAAATATGAGAATAGAGGTCATACAAACTTGATTTCACAAAGTTTTTGAGTACATTGTTTGAAATATCGCTGTAAAACTATAGGAGTTTAGCTTTTCAACTACTTCGTCGCTTCACATTGTCTCAGTACTTACACGTTAAAGCATTTTCTATTTAGAAGGCTTTGATTGATTGATTAAGAATGACTAATGCTTAAATACAGTGATACTGGTCGATTGTTCAAATATACCCGTAACTAACGCCAACATTAGTTCAGTGTGCTTTTTTAGTAACTCCACCTGGAGCCCTTCTTGGGCTACTGCCGGTCTCAAGCTCGGATAAAGGAGGGTTGTGCATTGGGTTAGCGACCCCATCCCGTAGAAAACTAACTCGCTAAAACATGCTAATCAGAAAAATTATTCAAACCATTTAAACTCTGCCCTGGGAGTTAGGTTTTTATTTAGGAGAGTTATGACGCCTAATGATAAAAGCCAAGTTCCTTTTGAAGTCACGAGGCTGATGCCCCTTCTGACAACCAGAGCAACCATTTATTTAGGTACATAGAATGCTCGTACAATGTGGGAGACCGGGAGAGTCTCCCAAATTGTTGCAGAAATGAAGAGATACAACTTGGAGGTGCTTGAAATCAGTGAAACACATTGGACGCAGGTTGGACAACAACGACTAGCTTCAGGGAAACTTCTGTTATACACCAGCCATGAAGAAGAAAATTCCCCACATACACAAGGATTTGCATTGATGCTATCTAAACAGGCACAAAATGCACTTATAGGATGGGGATCTAATGAACCAAGGATCATCAAAACCTCCTTCAAAACAAAGAAAGAGAGCATTTCAATGAACGTCATCCAATACTATGCGCCTACCAACGACTATAATGAAGACGTTAAAGAATAATTCTACGACAGGCTGAAGTCAACCATCGAGATGTGCCCAGCAAAGGACTTGACCATTCTGACCTAAATGTTTTTTTTTAATGCCCAGGTTATATCGTCTCTGTTGTAAATCATTAAAACTTTATCCAAGGCTAAAAAGAGTTCACAATAACTAAACACTTATTAAACTTACCTGTTTTATGATATGCTGGTATTTTCATTCCATTCGATTTAAGTATATCTAATAATTCATGTCGAAATGCGCTTATATCACCTTTAATTTCACTTAAATCATCTGCACTGACAATATCATTTTCACTTGATCGTAATTTTTGCATAATGTATCGTTTAGTTAATTCACGCATTACATTTTGGTAACGTGCTTCACATTCTTTAACTTGTTTTATACGTAACTATTAAATTCAAAGGAAAATAGTCATTTAAATCATTTAGAAAGTCTTATTATTGGATTCTATGGGAATTGTTGAATTTTATAGTCTATATCATTGATTGATCTTAGTTAAACAAATACTGAGACCTAGGAAACACTAGATGATCGTTTCATTCACTGGTACAACCTATTGTAATGAATGGTGTTAGCGTAATATCTCGAAATTGATTGAACGTAGACAGATAAACCGTTAGATGACAAACCAACTGTTTAAAAATTCTAAGAACCCGTCGTGAGACCTGAAGGTTCTGAACTGGATCTAGGTGGGGGTCGTGGATGTCTACTGACGAGTAGTTCCATAGCAGTTGCTATCCAGGGATTCCTGGTTATCACTTGTTGTCTAACTAAGATCAATCAATGACGTAAACTATGAAATTTAGAAAATCTGGTATATACATGACAAAATTGATGGCTAAAATGAGAACAGAATGTTAGAGACGGCAAGATTCGAATAAGAGATTCGACCGAATGCAGTACAAAACTCAAACGGTGATTATCTTTATTTTGGATTACAAATGACAAGACATGTCTATAAAAGTAATGCAGTATAGTCTACATATCAGTTATTTACACTAAAATGTTATAATAATCTGGTTAGTTAAACGTGTCTCGCTTTTTCAGCAGGTAGCTTACAAACGGTTAGTTCGAAGCCCTTCCTATGAGTTCGGTTTTCTGTTAGCTTCCAGAGATCATTCTCGTAATTGATTGAATCACTTCTAAATGTATAGAATCATCATATAAAGTAATTATATTAATGTTCCAACCACTTACATGTTCTTACTAACAAGAGCACTTGCTAATACAATATAACCCACTCCTCATTTACATTTATCACCATACTTGTAGTAGATATTCAAACCGTATTTATGGTTTGCTTTGTATATTTCAATTTCGGACTTTCCTATAACTGACCATTAATATCCCCAGTGTTCATTGTCCTTGATCATTCCACCTTGATTTTTCATAACCTAATTCCCTTTTGTGTTCTAACTATATTACTTATTAATATTAAGTAACATTATTTCCAATCAGTTTTTGAAATTGCTACTTACTTACGCCTGTTACTTTCATGGAGGAGCATAGGCCATCTTTGTAATATGAAATTCCGAAGTATCTATATGTATTCATGATAATTGACTTAGTTCATTATTGTAATGTTATACCATAACAGTTTACATTCATTTTATATGCGTTCACTGAACATCTACTCATTCTTAACAACTTTCATACATAACTCTCGTTACAATTTCCCATATTTGGAAATCATTAAGACATCAGTTTGTTCAAACTCAGTTACAAATTATCAATATTTAAATGAACTGAAAACCAGTCAAGGTTGAAATTTTCCCATATCAGATTTCAACTTTACTCACAATGAATCCTTAGTCAATCTAACAGTAAAGTAGTTTTAAACATTGTTACAGAAAGCTATAATGAAACAAATATAACTGTAAATCTTCTATGAATAGGGATCAAAACACCAAAATACTCGGTTATTATATTTTATTCATATTCAGATATTTAATGTGTTATCACATAGTATCATAGTAAATCTGAGACATATTTATATGTTCCGTCAATAGAATTCGGAGAAGAAACAAGATCCTGTGTTTCACCGTTAACGACAATCGATAAAAATGATTGAACTGATAATGTCTAGGCTAAACGCCCACCACTTAAAATTCAGTTCGATCGCATATTGGTTAATTCATGTCTTAGTAACAGATTATAAGTTGTTCATATATATGTATTCTTCACTCGTTTTGATTATGGCTTTGCCAAAACTCTGTGTACAACAGTTTAGAGGATTATTTATAAAATTCATCTGTAGACAAATCGAATCCCATGGTCATGTAGTTTATTGTTTACATTTTTCAGGAAAGATAAGGTTAGAAGTGAACATGTATGGAATATTTTATGCATGGGAATATCACAGTACGAGAAAAGCCTCAAATTGCAGGTTGATACGTATGCTACAATACTCAGGTGTAGTGGCAGCATGATATATGTAAGAAAATAATAAAGATCAGAAATGATGAAATATAAAACGCACTTGGTTACTTTTTTCGGTCTATTGGTTGGCGAGTTGGGAATCGGCGAATTCCCCATCGGCTATTGATCGACTAGACAAATATAACATTAGTTACTGCTAAGTGACCACCAACTACAAATGCAATAGGTCAACCGCCGCCTAATATAACTCAGTAGTAAAGTCTCAGAACGTATATCCAAATGATGAGGGTTAACCCATAATTGTAGGTACACCTTGGTGATAAGTTCTAACTATGACGAAACCTATGTTAAACAGGGTTTCTTCGCTATGATACTAGTAGATCCTAAGTTTGTTGACTATAATGATCATGAGTCCACTTACCTGAAGAGTTTCACATAATAACAAAACATTAATCTCAACTGTATACAGTTTGCATACATAAAACTATATTTCATAAAATAAGAATGTTAACTTACTCGAATTGTTTCCCAATCATTACGATGTAATTTCTTTTTATAACAATTTAAAAATAAATTTTTAATTGTATTTAACATATAGATAAATGATTTTGGTGTAGGTATTATATTGAATGGTACTGGTACAGTACAACCTTCTCCAAAATAACTAATCCATAATTTAGATCGAGCAAATTTCCATTCAACATCAACTTGTCCCTATTATATAGAAATAAATACAAGAACATATTTTTAACAAACTACAAAGATTGAAAGAGATTGAAGAATAATAATCAATAAAATTGAACTGAGGTTAACTTTAGCCCGAAATTTCATGTGATATATGTTATATGAAGGTGAATAACGTAGAGAGATGGAACTTTCAAAACTATTCTATAGAGATAAATACACATGGTATTGTTTACTTGAATCTTCTCATTGATGTTTAGCACTGCAATTGATCAGTCTTTTATTGGCACATATGCATACTGGGCGTATTACCTCGATATTGCCTTAATTCACAAGCATTATAAACAAAGATGGACAGTGGTTATCAGTGAAGTCTAGCCTGACGCGTGTTTCATCCTATTTGAGACTAGTCAGCTGGATGTATCTGAGTCTGAGTTGACGTCCATCCCGGGACTCGAACCCAGGACCAGTTGCTCCAAATGCCATCGTGTTTTCCACTTAGCTACTGAGTTCCAATAGCCGCCTGTTTGCGCAATGAGGTGAAGTTTAGATTCACTTGGTGTTGTTTACTTAAATCTTCCTATTGTTATTTAGGATTGCAATTGATCAGTCACATATTGGTATATATGCATCCTGTGCGGATTGACTCGATATAGCCTTAAGTCACAAGCTTTTTAAGCAAAGTATGTCCTAATAATACCTAATGACTTGAAATGCCTCTAGTTCATTTTTGTCAGAAACTATATGGATGAATTCAATGTAAATTTAAGAAAAAAAAACTAAATCCAAAAGAAGAAATTAAACCTTAGTTGAGAAACAAGCAATCTTGTTCATAAAATTAATGTTTCGGTCAGTCAGTCAGCAACAACGTAGAACTTCGTATGTATGTACATCAGTTCGAGTTACCATACCACATTAGCACACAAATACAATTGTCGATTCAAATCCCATAGTGGTAGAGGTAGTAAAAGTATAAGCTGTAATCGGAAAGATTAGAGTTTGAAGATGTTATTCAAGGAGTATAATCCAATGAAATAAATTTGGAAAGCGAAAAAGAAAGGACATGAAGAATTCAGAAGATTAGAATTTGGGAGAACACATAGAGTGGATGCACCTGCGCACACCATTGCAAACGATTTTGAGCCATATCATTCAAGGTCTCTAAACATCGGTTTGTTTGTTTGCTACAGATTTCCTAAAAGACCTGTCGTTAATAACTGATAACTGCTGATATAAGTTATAGTATACAATAATAATGGAGAGTCCCATTGCCTAATGAGGTCAACAGTGAGCAACTATTTGATATAATAAGTCTTGAGAGAATTAAATATTTGATTACTATCCTATTACATCCATTATATACAAGTTTAGAATTCTCAGTGTAAAATTAGCATTGGTAAGAAAACATCCATCTAATGAGTCTCAACTAGAAAGAAACGCACTTTCTGATTCCGTTCATAGCCACAATTCATCTATTCTATAAAACGTGTGAAAAAATCTATGTACATCCGCTCATAATGCACATATGGTTATACGGACTGATATATATATAGTTCTGAACAGAAGTAACGGGAAACCCTAAAACCTTACTGATTGTTATTACATGTTTTCAAGACACTGGTATAGGGAGAACCGATTTAAAACGTTTACTAGAAAAAACATGGAACTTCATTAATGATCCTTTCATAACTAATTATTCAAATAATTGATAAAAATCAACCATGAAACATTGGGTTTCATTTTGACCAATGTAGTTGAGTACTGAAACATGCATCTTATACAGGGATTCATGGAAAAAAATAATCATATTAAGTAGACTAGTGGGAAACACTAGTAATTGAAAATGATTAACAGTTACTAACTTAAAACTACCCAAGAAATATGTTTTTGGATGATTATAATTTGTCTGTTTGTTAAAATGAAATCCTGAACCGGTTGATGTTAGACCGACATTGAAAACCTGGAAGCAATTGACGGCCGTTTCGTCCTAGTTCGAAACTCCCCAGCGGTGCACATCCAGATCCCGATCGCGAATTTCGAACCCAGGGCCTTCAGTCTCGCGCGCGAACGCTTAACCTCTAGACCACTGAATCCCGCGAGAGGGATCATGGATGTGCACTGCTGAAGAGTCCCACAACAGGACGAAATAGCCATCCAGTGCTTCCAGGTTTCCAATGGTGGTCTAACATCAATCACTTCATGATCTCAATCAAAAACTTAATAATCTCCACAACCCTATACTGGTAAAAAATGAAATCCGTCTAGGCACTAAGTAACAAGTTCTGAAAATTATTATCATAAAATTTATATTTTCCAAGGCCTCTCATCAGCTGCAAATGGCCTTAACTTATGTTAGTTATAGTACTACGAAAAGTCAAAGATCTCGTACTCGATGAAGTGTTGTTCGAAATGACTTACGAAACAAAAAGGAACGATTTAAGTAGATCAGACTGATTAGTATTTATATTTTAAAGATGAAGTCACTTAAAGATGGGGGTAAAGTTATAAATGATAATAAAGAGACTATGAATAAAAACAAATTGTTAATCTGTTGATAAACAAGGCCACAAAGTGACGTCGTGAGCGAATATTAGTGAAATGTTTTATTTAAAATAAGGAAATACATTAAAGACATACTATAATTGGCAACCGATAAACGACTTAACTATTTTACCATGGTAACCAGAAGTTTGCCACACTTTCTGTATGTAAAGGTCGGTCGGAAACACATAGTTGCAATGACCTCTCCAAAGCGGAGTATTTATTTATTTTAAAGTCTTTGCGCTATTCATGGCGTGTTCACTATCCATCCCATTTTTAATAATCAGAATTGTGAATAGTTTACTTCTTTCAAACACAATTATAGGGAATATGTTTGGAAAACCTTATAGATGCTCTTCTTTCAGTCTTCCTAAGTACATCTATATTCATAAATACATTAAAGATGACCTCATAAAAGTATTGATCTACTTTTGATTGACTTAAGAAACATATGATTTTATACACTGAAAATAGTTGGACAACAGGGAAACTTCTTTTTATCGCTTCTTTAATCTTTTTAATTAGTTCTACTTGAAGCCACCTTTGTCATGTTTGTCTGCAAACCCTGTTCTTTTTGTTCTGTTCAAATTTACCAAAAAGATCATGATGTATAAAACATCTATGGTATCGAGTCAAGCTCTTGTTATTATTATTGTAGCTTAATATTGCCCAAACGTATTTGCAACCACAATGATTGGGAGTTGAAACAGTTCTTAACACTGAGATATTTAAGCGTAATTTTTATAATGTGTCATCACAACTTACTACAATTTGTTCATATGAATTATTCATCATAGCAATTAACATATTCAGTAGAACGATGAAAGCAATATATGAATAGGTGCCAAATGTCAATTTACCTGTTCACAAATAAAAAAAAGGATTTCTGAATTAAAGGAAATGATGGAGGTAAATGTCTTTTGTCACCTTCACTTCCGAGCGAATTTTTAAAAATACGATTTATAATACTATAAGTAGACAAATGTTTAAAGTTGAATTTATTAGTAAATGAATGTTATGGCAAGTGAAAAATCTTTTTAAAAATGTTAATGACAATTAATCGTCCAAAATAGTTCACTCTGAGTATAAATATTCTATCGGAATGAATAGTTTGTTCAACAGTCACTTACCTAGGAAACTAAGCGACTATTCAGTCTTAAACAGTATCATTTTTGTGAAATCTATAGTACTGATTGCGTTCCATTGATCAAGTTACGATATTATAGCCTATAGATCCGATAAATTAGGATTAATTTTATATGGATTGAATTAATCAGTTTTGGAGATATATTTCGAACAATTTCACGCTCGTTAACAGTTTGCATAACCCAGTGGTTTATCCTTGACTGAGATACTTGGTGATATGTATTTCATAATCTGATTCACTCCCCTCAATGTTGCAGTTACGACTTGTTGTCAAGTAATAACATACAGAAAGATAGGTCCTGAATTTCCTATCGATGTATATATATGTAAAGTCGATTGATCACTGAGCAGTGAACAATGCTATGTTTGACCGAACTCTCAAATTATAATGTGTAACGACTAACCTTTTATAGAACTGATATTTATTTATAATTTATAAAATGAATCAAATTATCACTCTCTAACCAATTTATAACGATATCATTATTGACTGAAAGAACTATTATTACTGTCTCTATGATACTTTCAGTGATCATGTAATAATTACATTTATCATAACATTGACAATAGTCAGTCAGTCAGTCAGCTACAACGTAGAACCAGGCATATATATGCATCGGTCCAAGTTGTCATACCTCATTAAACATTGGCAATAAGACAGTAAAACCATTGAAATGAACTACAAATTTTTTGGTAACCAATTTAATGTAAATTGTTTGTTATATATAAAATTAAAATTTAAAAGGAATCTAAAATCGTCCATTTTGTGAACAGTTTTGTTTCATATGTAAAATATCATCAAGTAATTCTATATTGTGATTAATTTCCAAGTGAATTAACTGTCTTGAATCTATCAGGAACAGTGACTAATTAATCAGTAGTTCATACTGACATCGAGATATTTATTCTTTTTTCATCAAAACGAGTAATTATCAGAATGGGTTTTGTGGAAATTTTTAGAAATTTCACAGGTTGAAATCATGAGTCAATTGAAGCTAGACCACCATAGAAAACCTGGAAGCACTAGACGGCCGTCTCGTCCCAGTATGGGACTCCTCAGCAGTGCACATCCACGATCCCACATCACGCGAGGTTCGAACCCAGGACCTATCAGTCTCGCGCCAGGCACTTAATCAACTAGACAACTCAGCCGGCATCCAATGGTGTTAATGTCTAACTTCAATCAATCCACGAAGTTGGGCTACCGTATACCATTATCTTCAGTGAGCTGATATCTCACAACAGACTTGGTTGAACTACACTGGTAACGGCCTCTCACTAGAACTTCAGGAGTATCTCTTGAAGTCAGTCACTAGTGAGACAATGTTGTACGGTGGCGCAAATTCGTGGATCGGTTGAAGTTAGACATTAACACCGTTGGATGCCGGCTCAGTGGTTTAGTGGCTAAGTGCTCGCGCGCGAAATTAGTAGGTCATGGGTTCGAATCCCGTGGGGTGCGGGATCGTGGATGTGCACTGCTGAGGAGTCCCATACTGGGACGAGACGGCCGTCTAGTGCTTCCAGGTCTTCCATGGTGGTCTAGCTTCAATTGACTCATGATTTCAACCTGTGAAAGTGAGTAATTACTTGGTTGTTCCATATATTTAAGTACTATTGTATACACCATTATACATCCAACTGAAGGCCCCCAAATGTCCTGGTACGGCCGAGAGTAGGGAGAGTCAACTCTCCCTCTCCAAATGCTCTCACATGACCACACGTATATAAACTCTGTCAAGGTAGTCCTACTCACTGCCTTCTCGCGGCATTACTGTTATTTACAAAATTGAGAGGACGGAAAGCGAATGTTCGGCACTTTAACCGGGCTGGTGGACACGGAGAGTCCACCTAGGGGAGTTGGAAAACCCTCATTCCAAACCAATCGTGCAAAGTAACTCCAGGATCCTGAGGGAACAAATGGCGTATGAACCAATCGTTGATCACCGGCTACCATGGCAGTGCATCTGCTCACGATGCTCCACTGCCTTGTGGATCAAACCCTTAGATCGCAGGCTCTGGGTGTGTTCCCTCAAGAAAACCACCTGCTTCTGTTTGGTCACTCGAGTGTTACAATTTAGTGGTGTTCGTCATATCACTTTATATATACAATGATTACAATTGTAAAAAAAGCCTAAAACGCTATGTTCACAAGAAATATAAGTTAGAATTACCTACAAACTCCGTAAATGCATGTGGATATTCCAAATTGAAACTTGTCAAATCAATCAAACCATAAGCAGACCAATACAACGATTGAACGATTTCGAATAAGCTAGAAGAGGATTTTTCATTATTAAATATAAACTACTTAATTAAAAAACAGTAGTTGTAATCTTACATGAAAGAGAGCTCACAATACGAGTTAGTGGAAATTACTAATATATCTTAAGAAAATAATACAAATAACTCATGATATTACCGGGATGACTAATATGAAGAAATAGGAATTCTTATGGAAAGATTGTATATTTCAAAATTGTAAATGTTAGAAGATAGAGAAGGGGCATAAGCTTCACCAAGAATGGAGTTATTTTCCATCAGCATGTAATCAACCTAACTTTATGGGATCCTGTGTATTACATTCAGGCAAATAACATCAAATATCATACAGTGGAATAGTTTCTCTTATCACAAAGAAGAACTACTTAGTCGAAACAACAAGTGTGAACTGTTGGTGTTTTAAGGATGTATCATTAGTATATATATTTGATTGAGAAAGAAACGATAAAAAATATTTACAAAAAAGAAAACATCATTTTACGAAGTTAAGCCATATGGATAAAATAGTATTAATCAATGAATTTCTTTGGGTGAAACGTCTGAAATAGGCGTATAGTGTTTGTCAGAGTAGTTCATCATTGATGAACAAGGAAGATCAGATGCAGATGTAAAGGAGAGGATTGGCAAAACAAAGGCCACATTCCTACAACTGAAGAACATATGGAACTCAAAACAACTTTCAACCAATATCAGTCACAATCTTCAATACGAACGTCAAAACAGTTCTACTACACGGAGCTGAAACTTAGAGAACTAATACAATCAATATCAAGAAGTTACAAGTATTTATAAACAATTGTCTATAGAAGATACTCAGCATCCATTGGCCGGATACCATCAGCAACAGCCTTCTGTGAGAGAAAAGAAACCAGCTTCCAGATGAAGAGGAAATTAGGAAAAGACGATGGAAATGAATAGGACATACATTACGAAAATCACCAAAGTGCATCATGGGGCAAGCCCTACCTTGGAGTCCTCAAAAGAAGCAGAAAAGAGGAAGTTCAAGGAACATATCACGTCAGGAAACAGAAGCAGATATGAGAAGGACGAATAACAACTGGAAAGAGGTGGAAAGGATTGCCCAGGACAGGGTTGAATGAAGAATGCTGGTGAGCGGCCTATGCTTTTTCACGAGGAGTAGCAGGCATAAGTAAGTGAGGATTATTTATTAACATATCATTCCAATGTTGATGTTCATCATCCATATATAAAGGACATATCAGAAATTACAACGAGGTTATTGAAACCGTTTGGAATATGTGTAGCACACAGACCAGAAAAGTCACTTGAATCAATCCTATGTAAACTAAAGAATGAAATGGCAAAAGAAGAAAAAACCGAATATTATCTATAAAATAAATTGTTCTAATTGCGGAAATCACTATATCGGACAAATTGTACTACCCCCTCATCTTCGCCTACAAAAACATCAATTAATTGTCAAACACCATGACACGCACCCTCGCTTGCATGTGGACAACTATGGACCCACATTCGACAGGGAAAATGTTGAAATCTTGAATAGAGAGCATATCAAGAACACCAAAGAATTTCCTAGGAGCTTCGCACTCAGAAAAATCACTGACAACTGACAGAACCAAGGATCAGATCAAAGAGAGATATAATCAAAATAGAGAAATAGACAATGATTGGTTAAAAGTCAGCAATAACCAATCATGATCGAAGTCGACAGGTCAAACTGTGAGTCGTATATGGAGTAATTCGAACACTTCACTACTACCTAAAGTATATGCTAATGATATTGTTCAGAAGAACAATGAAAAGCTCCACGACCAAACCATCGAGTTCAAAGAATAAAACTGCAATGATCATAATCTTTAGATGGAAATATTAGATAACATAATCCAAAAAAACGATTTTAGTGATATAGATAGACTCAAATGCTCTCAGTTTCATCTAATCAATGTTTCAATAGGTTTATTGTATTATGAATTGAAAAAAGATAAATATTTATCAAAATGTACTTACTTTGTAAAATAAGTACCTCTTGTAATACAATAATCATATACATCTTTTTGTCCTTCTTCTAATGTAAAATGAACATTTTTACAATTTCTAGCACGATTTTTTGCATAAAACCAATATAATTGATTAAATCCAAATGCAAATGCAACCAATACCAAGAAATAAACACAAAAAAATCGTAATATATCATGTAACATACGACCTAATGATATTTGTAATGGACCAAGTTGTGGACTAACAGTAAATACATAAACTAATTTTAATGTAGATACTATATTAGCTGCAGCAAATAAACATTCAGAGACAAGTACCGGATCAAATGAATCCCATTGACCACGATTTATATAACGTGGTTCATTATAAAATACAATCTATGAATTATAAAATAAATTCAAAGAAAAAAAATGCATAAATTAATAGTTTCAAGAATAAGGTATCGAATAAATTTTATTCACTATTAGGAAACATTTGATAAACATTACAAGATTAACCAGTAAGACTATAATTTATGGACGACCTCTGAACAACGCTCAAGTGACTTTGAAAGTGTCCACCTAGTAACTACGACTAAATCAGAGTTATAAACCAGTGTGGGGAATTAGAGTTATCATTTACAATTGATGATTAACGTTAGATATTAGATTTCAGGTTTTCATCATAAACTGATATCAGCTATAATGCCAAAACTCTATTTAGCCAAATGGATGAGTGAATTTGGCGCCAAAATCCGAGATCTGTTATCTTATACGTGATTGGCCCGTTCATAAATTATAGTCTCGCCGATTATCCTTTCAATACAACAACATATTTCTAACGTAAACATATGATATATTGTATAATACATTGAATAACACATTATCATAACAATGGTAACTGTTTCCGATCGCTTTCATCATTCAACGATATTTCATTGTATATGCTGACTTTTCAATTCATCTATTCTTCAGTTCTTCCTCCTTTCAGATTTTTACATTCATGTTTCTCTGCACAATACAACAATGATGGTGTATTTATAGGTTAGACAAAAACTTACAAAAATCTGAATATCATGTTTAACTGTCTAATTCCTAGATTTGACGTTCAGTGATCAGTTGATAGATAAATATTTTCAAATGAAGAATGGCGGGATTAAAATTTATGGACAGATCAATAAAGTGTAGCACAGTGACCCTTGGATTTTGGTGAGAAATTCATTCAGTTGTATAGCTAAATAGGATTTTGACAGAATATTTTTGCCGTATAGTTGATATTAATTAGTGATGAAACCATAACTCGAACTCCTAACTCTAACTCCTGACTCTAACTTTAAACCCTCTTTTGACCCTAGTAATTGGTTGGAAGTTCTCGTGGTCGCTTCAGTATCTCTCGAAAGTCATACATAAATTATAGTCTCATCAAGATTCGACACAATACTTTTGAATAAACTGAACATGAAGTGGATGGTTTATAATAATAAACGTAAAAGTATATTTTATAATATTCCAATGTTTCGAAGACTGAATTACTGATGTTTCACAACATTATGTAAGTTGTTAATCAGAAAATAAAAAAAAATCGTGGTAGTTGTAGAAAAATGATTTGTTCTCTAAAATGTGATATGAATTAAGTATTGAGAATTCGAAAAACAACTATTCCACGTGTTGGGGGAATAACAAAATATCCTTTGTCAAGATCTTTAGAGGTCCGCAGATCTCCAGGGAACGTTTTATCTGAATAATATTGAACAGAAACTTAACAGAAACATCTAAATAAGGATTACGTATCACGTTTTGATTGGATAATTGACAATATTCTTATGGTATCCAGTATGTTTCCAGAAAGTTCTAGAAGACTAAGATTATTCGGAATTATGAAAATACTCGCTTTTCTCCACATAACTAACCTTAGAGCTCTTACTCATATTTCGAGTTTTCTCTCAGCTGTTCAGGTCAAAGTGTAGAAGTAGTTTGAAGTTATGGGAAGAGGTTAAGAAATCAGCAGTAGGAGTTCTAGTAGCAGACTTGTTACTACTAATTAGGGTACTAAGAATATTTATTTTTGTTATCTTCACAGTGAATTACATGCCAGGAAAGAGAAAGTTGTACACATCAAATAATCAGTAATCTTCTACAATTACATGTACGCTTTTATCTGTCGACAATAAGGATCGAGGTAAGACGGTAACCATATGATGCAGGGATGAGCAAATTAGTATTGAGAACACAGTTGCTAGGTTTTCGTGAGCAAATATCACACGTAGCGAGCGGTATAAATAAATTTGTGTGAGGATACAATTTATAGACGACCTCTGAGCGAAACTAAAGTGACCTTGAGAAAGCCCACATACCTACTATGGTCTAAAGAGAGTTACAAATTAGTGTGAGAAATCAGAATTGGGAATAATAGTTAGGGTTTTCATCACGAAATAACACCAAGTGTATTGCCAAAATGCTATTCAGTCATATAAATTGATTAATTTCACGCCAAAATCCAAGAGTTCCTACCTTGAATCTGATTGGTTCGCCCAGAAATCATAGTTACCACTGTCTCTGTATACTGCTTAAAATGTTTAAAGCAGTTGAGAAAAATTACTGTCTTGACGAGCGTCGAATAGAATGGATCAAATAATCAATTCCGTTTACGTAAATTGCACACAACAGGCAAATCGACACTATCCTTTATTCATAATCTCAAACTTTTAATCCTAAAACAAACCCTGAACTAGTGGAACTACATTGGATGAATGACCTAATCAAATATCGTTCATTAAATTTTTACACGAAATTCGTTCATCCATACGGCTACAGAAATGCTAATAGATTAATTAGTTATCTTAAATCTATCTACATTTTGTAACATTCTTTTTTTCTTTACCATAAACAATCGATTCAAGAAAGCTGTTTAGTGATTAAATTCACTTGGTGTTGTTTACTTGAATCTTCCCATTGTTATTTAGAACTGCAATTGATCAGCCTCTTATTGGTTTATGTGCGGACTGACTCGATATTGCCTTAGGTCACAAGTATTATAAGCAAAGGTGGATAATGGCTAGCAGTAGAATCCAGGACGCGCGTTTCGTCCTATTTGGGACTAGCCAGCTGGATGTACCTGCATCTCAAAGTTGATGTTCATTCCGGGACTCGAAACCAGTACCTTTCGCTTCAAACGCCATCATGTTATCCACTTAGCTACTGAGTCCTGATAGCCACATGCTTGCGCGATGGGGTGAAGTTTTAAATTCACATTTTTACAATGGAAAAATGTACACTTCATGTTAACACTCCATCAATTGTGATTTTCTTACTGTTGTAGTATAGATTAAATAATAACTAAATACCGTTTCCTTATTATCTGAAAAGCTATTCTGAGTCAGTGCTATAACACAATTTAGCTGACCAATGAATTACTATCATCATCATGGATGTTATTACAATTATAACTATTCAGTTAGTTGTTTTATCAGTTATTGATCAAATTCGAAGAACGAACTGACACCAACCGACTGACAGTGATGTGCACACTCCGAGGTTTAACTAAATTAAATTTTTTCTCTCATCGGGTCATCTCTGTTTATAATCATAATCGAAACAACTGCCAATTCATTTTAGCTAGTGCTTTAATCAATATAATAAAGGGGAAGGAAGAGTAAATTTATCTTCGAAATTACTGGTAAGAGATTCTATACTAACTTTTTCGTAAAAAAAATGAACAAAATTTAAGTCAATATAAATTGAGCACATAGTCATAAAGAAAAATGTAACATTACTCTAGCCCATGCAACTGTTCTCAATGATATAGTAGCTATGTAGAGTGCATTCATAAGAAAATCTACAAGGTTCCACATATCAGCTAAATATGCACGTAAACCCCATATATAAAGTTTTTTCATTTGTTGCCAAACAAAACCTGTAATTAAAAATTGAACAACGAAAAATTAAAGTTAAGAAAATCCAATATATAATTTTGACAAGTCTGTTTATTAAAATATTTCCGTTAATATGTACAAGTGTTTCGTCCTAGTAGTGTAACTCATCAGCTTAAATGTATTTATATTATTGACAAGTAGTTTTATGAATAATTAGACATTGAACAGAAGTTTCATATAGTGATTGAGTAATCTAGTTGAAAACGTTCTAGTTTATGAAGCCGAAGGTATTGTGTGATTTTACTTCCGGTCCGAGCACTAATATATGTTCAAATTCGAGCACATAAACTCATGAAGAAATTACTAGTATAGAGGTTGTGCAGATTATTAAGTTTTTGATTGAGATCATGAACCGATTGATGTTAGACCACCATTGGAAACCTGGAAGCACTGGACGGCCATTTTGTCCTATTGTGGGACTCCTCTGCAGTGCGCTTCCACGATCCCACTCGCATGATTCGAACCCAGGGCTTTCGGTCTCGCGCGCGAACGCTTAACCTACTGGGCTACTGAGCCGGCATCCAATGGTGATAGTGCCTAATATCAACCAATCCACGAAATTGTGCGACCACCTTCCATTGTACTGAGGCAGATACCTGTCTCTACCCGACATGGATTAGCTACACTGGTCACGGCAAGGATTTTATTCCTTGGATGGAATAACTTGTGCGATTCTCCTTTTTCCAGGCAATGTCTAAAAGATAAATTTTGTAATTTATTTCTTACCTATGACGTAAATAACTAAAGCTGACTCTGTTAACGATGGTGTTGGTCCACGATCATGCATACGTTGATCAAGAGAACTTGTCAGTAAGAACTCAACACGTGTAGCAGCCAATGTAAGTAGAGCTATTCAAGGTATACATAGATAATAAATGAAGTACAAAGATGTCAATAAATAAATATTATTTGTTGAGAATATAGTGAATAAAATTCAAAGTAGAAATGTTATCCTATGTACAAAGTTGATTCGTTCCAATGTTGATTTCTTGACTTATGGATTATCAAAATTTTTCTACTCTCCTGTCTTCTTCCTGTATTTTGTCGTGTTGGAAACACTTGTAGAAGTGTTGTTTATGCCAGTGGCCGTACTATAGAGTTCTTATTAGTTCCTGTTCATATTGGAAGAATTTCAATCGTTCGAAACTAGAAGTCAATATAAGCTCAAGTCTTAGAAATGACAATCATTATATCTCCTAACGTGTATATTGTGTGATGGATTATAAAATTACAAAAAGAAATAACGAAACTTTTTGTATAAGACAATCTCTTGAAGATGCGGTTGGATATTGAAGTTATTCGGAAAAAAAACTTTGACTTGGATTTATTAATTCCTAGAACTAATCAACAAATTCTATCTAAAATGTTGAAAAAGACAAATATGCCTGTCAATAGGTGGGATTTAATGATGACTTCAAACATGAGAAATGCATAAAATATTATTTAATGGATAATTTATACAAACAGTCCAATCTTTACACTGATCAGTCTTGGACTGAATAGTTTATGGTAAACGTTTTCAACTCTCGGCACCTAATGACACTGGTCCAAGTATGCTTGAAGCTATCGCTATGCGTCATAACGAATCGACAGAAATTAGTCAACAATAGGAATCAGAGAGCATTTCTTTGGTTATTAGTAAGAGATCAAATAATTTACATATTACAACAATGATACTTAGGATTCTATTCAACTAGGTAAGAAACTCAAAACATTGCATTGTATTATCGTACAAACTTGCTCATTTGACTACATCACAATCTTAGCGTTCAATCTGTTCATTGCAATTCAAAACAGTAATCAATTAATTTCTGTGCATGTAGCCTTAATGATTAAGCGCAAATACTAAAAGTAATTTTATAATAAAATAGTATCATGAGCCACATTTGTTAAGTAACGGTTCTAATTTACTGGCTTCAAAGGCTAATTTATGACTTTCGAAGTTAACATCAACAACGAGAAAATATTATTACTATTATTATTTTATCATTTAGCCTTGCTACCCTCGTGGAGGAGCACAGACCGCCCACCACTGTTCTCCATCCGAACTATCCATTGTATTCCGTGCTTCACCTCAGATATGGAGGTCTTTATAATACAGTCGATCACCAGACGTAAGAGGGAGAGGTGAGTAGGCAGCCTCGTCTGACTCTGGTTCACACTTGGAATGAATCTGTCAGCTGTCCTCCATCCACGAATTTGCATTGTAGTTCGTCGTATGAATCCCCGATAATATTGACAATCTTCTTAGGAACTCCATAGTGTCGAAGAAGTTTCCATAACGTCCTCCTATCTACACTATGCAATGCTTTCCCATAGTTGATGTATAGTGACGAGTTCCACTCAATTGATTGTTCGACGATTATCAGTAGTGTCGCGTTTTGGTCTGTGCACGACCGATCCTTACGGAATCCAGTCTGTTGATCTTGAAGTTGGGTGTCTACTGCGTCTTTCATCCGGTTCAGCAACACTCTATCGGGGACTTTCCCTGGTACTGACAGTAATGTGATGCCTCTGTAGTTTTCACATTTGCTCAGATCTCCTTTCTTTGGAATCTTGATGAGGTGTCCTTCTTTCCAGTCGATCGGCACTTGCTCTTTCTTCCAAATCTTCCTGAAAAGATCGTGGAACATGTTTGGAGTTCCTTCTACGTCCGAATTTAGTGCTTCGGATGGCATATTGTCAGATTGGACTGCTTTCTCACTGTTCATTTGTCTAATGACCGGCCATCCTGATTTTTTCCATCGTTGGTGGAGTGACATCTATAGGAAAATTTGTAGGTGCTGCCTGTGTCCGGTTGGTTCCGTGGAGCTGGTTTATTCAGAAGTTCCTAGAAGTGTTCCCCCCCACCTGTTCCTCTGTTCTTGAATCTCAGTGATTGTTTAACCTTGTTTGTCCTTGACTAATCTCTCTGGTTCACTATATTCCCCTGCAAGTCATATAGTTGTCTGATATTTCTTTCTCGTGCAGAGTTTTCGCTGTCGTTGCCAGCTCTTTCATGCATTTCCGCTTGTCAGCTATAATACTCCTCTTCACTTGCTTGTTTGTTTCTGCTCATTCAGTTTGTGCTTTGACTTTCTCCGTTCTTGTCCTCCCTTTCTTCAATCTTGTCCAGGGTTTCCATAAAGATCCTTTCTTTATGATGATACTGCTTGTGGTTCAGCACCTCTTCACATATTGAAGTTAGTTCTTCTTTTATCCCTTTGCAGTTGTCCTCCATAGTATTTTCTTCTTTCAATAAATCTTGTAAGGCTTGGAACCTATTGTTGTTAGTTATCTTGAATTGGTTAAGTTTGTGAGTATATGGAAGGGAGAATGTGTTGAACTTTTGTGATGCTATTTCTCCAGTTGTCCATTGCTTCTTTAGTTTCAGTTTAATATTGGCAACCACCAAGTGGTGATATGAAGCTATGTAAGCTCCTCTCCTGATTCTCACCTTTTCCAATGACCTTCTGAATTTTTTTTGCTGATGTAAATCTAATCCATCTGGTTCTGTGTAGTGTGACCCGATGAGACCCATGTAGCTTTGTGTATGCGTTTGTGTGGGAATATTTTGCCGTCTATAACCATGTTGTTGAATGCACCAGACTTTGCAAATCTATCACCATTCTCGTCCCTTTCTCCCATTCAGTCCATGTTGTCCCATGATATCTTCATATCCAGTGTTGTCCATTCCGACTTTCGCGTTTAGAGCTCCCATCAGAATGGTGAGGCCCTCTTCTGATCACTTAGCTATTATCGACTGCCGCCTATCATATAACTGATCTTTACCGTCGTTGTTGCTACCATTGGTTGGTGCATAACACTCATTGTGACTCCCTTCTTCTTTGTTTTGAAGGATGCTTTGATGATCCTGGATCCATGAGACTCCCATTCTATAAGTGCATTACGTGCTTCTTCGTGACCAGAGTACAGAAGCATCTCTCCCTAATCTTACTTCTGCTGTTCAGCTTGGGTTCAATCGATTTCACCGATTCCGAGAACCGTCAAGTTGTATCTCCACATTTCTGCAAATATTTGATTGGTCGTTTCGATCTCCCCTATTGTCAGAAGCTTCTATTTACGTACGTTAATTGTTGATCTGGTTGTTAGAAGTGGCATCGGCCTCGTGACTTCCGAAGAATCTCGGCTTTCACCATGAGGCGTCGTAATTCTCCCGAATGAATATGCTTTAGCATGGAGAGCAGAGTTTTAATGGCTTAATTTGTTTATTCTGATTAGCGTTTTTTGCCAATGTTGTTTTGTATGGGATGGAGTTTCTGAGCCCACAACCAACCCTCCTTCTACACCCCGGTTAGGACCGGTAGTAACCCTAGGAGAGCTACAAGCGGAGTCAGAGGAATTAAAGATTACTATTATTTTTGTACAAAATTCGATCACATCTCTGTGCACCTGATTGAATTTCAATACTAAAGTGTACTACTAACTCTCCAAGTGCTTCTCTCCTGAAAATAGGAAGGTCAAAATAAGAATATGTCAACACTCATCAGGTATTGTTAACATCTCACTTACCATAAGAAATGAGTGATCTATCTAGATCATAATTTTCCCTTTAATTAAAATTTTAGATTCAGTTTCTGTTTTTTTTAAAGACCGAAATCAATTCTACTTGCTGGAACTTCTGATTCCACATCATAACAACTTTGATCATTATTTAGAAGTTGGACTACTTACTCGAGTTTCAAACCTTTAAGATATTTTCAGAAGCTTGTCGAAAATATGGTTTACAATTCTTTCTATCAAAGTACTGGAATTCTCCTTGAGTTAATTCACCCCGATGATATGTGTTGAGATTGTCAACTTGATTAGTGTTCAACTGACAATATTAACTGTTCAACCACTTCAGTTAAACATTAAAATTTCAAATCAAAAATCATCTCTAGCTTATTATTTGTCAATAATATATTTCAATAGTTGAGATCATGAGTCAATTGAAGTTAGAACACCATGGAAAACCTGGAAACATTGGACAGCCGTTTCGTCCTATTATGGGATTCCTCAGAAATGCGCATTCACGATCCCGCCTCGCGAGATTGCTGAGGCGTCCTACAATAGAACGAAACGACCGTCCAATGGTTCCAGGTTTCCCATGGTGATCTAGCTTCAATTGACTCATGATCACAACTATTGAAACTACTACACTATCCACAAAAACCCCTTCCAATAATAATTTATTTCTAGATATTTTTTTGGTTTTTTAATTCTTACCTAAAAATGATAAATATGAACTGCTATGACATAAAAATTTTATAAATGGTTTTCTCATCATACTACCCAATTTTGAATGTGGTGCAAGCATATAAAATGTAGCCAATAATGGAAATAAAGAACATAATGTTCCAATAGTTGTTAATTGAGCAAATACTGGTTTTTGACGAAATCCAGGCAATCCTTCATACCAGATAGCAGCTAATAATTGTTGACAATGTGGATGAGCTACAAACTAAAATAAATTAAATCAGATGGCTTTTGTGAATATTATAGTAATTTCAATGGCTAAGATCATGAGTCAGTTGAAGCTAGACCACCATGGAAAACCCGGAAGCACTGGACGGCCAGTAGGTCCTGGGTTCGAATCTCACAGGGGGCGAGGTCGTGGACGCGTACTGCTGAGGAGTCTCACAATAGGACGAAACGGCCGTCCAGTGCTTCCAGGTTTTCCGTGGTGGTCTAGCTTCAACTGACTCATGATCTTAACCATTAAAGTAAATAAGTTAAATATAAAATTCATAATTAGAATTATTCATTATATTTTAAAACTAAAGATTTTGTAAAGATTGCTAGATATTATGGTTTTCATTAATGAATGAATTTAGTTAGACAATTATTGGAAACTAGAATGTACCAGATATCTGTTTCATTCTAGGATGGAACATTACGACAGTACATATCAATTCAAAACAAATACTAAATACTCTCTAATGTTCAATATTTCTAAGGCGAGACTCTAATTTATGGATGACCTTTGAACGAATCTTAAGTGACCTTGAGAAATATTAGCCAATCAGTAGACAGTCAGCATAGAGTAAAAAGATGTTATACAAAACCAAGGAAATAAAGTGGATGCACTTCTTATACGTGGTTCAAAAATTTGTCAAGGTTAGAAAGAGTTTCGGAAGTTCTAAAATCGTAATGCATGCAGTAGAGGAAATCATCCACACGGCTACAGAATGGTCGGCCTCTGGTGCCATGATAAGGTCGCAAAAATTCTTTCAGCCTCAACCACATAGCTTCAATATTGTTTGTATGCACTCCGGTTGTTGAGTACATAAAATGCTATATGTGGATAACGACACGATGCACATAACCAAGCCTATGTAGGAGTCTGTACGCTCTCCAATCATTCGTATATACTGTAGTACCTGGCTGCAGCCAATGTTACTCGTGCCTTTATTATCCAGTTCGCAATAATTGTCGTAATTCGCCTTAGTTAGGAATTATATACAGGGTTTTCATCACGAAGTGACATCAGCTATAATGCCAGAAGTTTATTTAGCCAAATGGATGAAAGGCTTTCGCGTTAAAATCCGAGATCTATTATCTTATACCTGATTGATTCGTCCACAAATTATAGTCTCACCGTTTTATTTGTTATAGCCGCTCAATTATCACGTTTTGTACAAAATTCCCTGTGAACCGATCGTACGTTAGCATTAAGCACTGAAGTTGGCGCTGTAACCTTGAAATCCCTAAAACGCCTCTGATTGGCCCGTCCATAAATTCGAGTCTCGCCGCTCTTAATTAGTAAATTTGATTGTGACAAGTGCCCATGATTAGTACCATAATCAGTTATTCAAACGCATACAATCAATAACATGTCAGTATATAACATATTCACAAGTCTATTTTTACACAGATTACACTCAAAACGAAAGTTTAAGATTAAATAATTATCAAAGGAAAATAGAATGGGTTGGCAAATAATAGTGTGTGGACATAAACACCATAGAAATATAAAACACTATATTTTCTGTAATATGATCTTATTAAAATATACATTAGAAAATACCCAGAATTTGATTTGAACAGCGATAATAATCCAATGTTTTAGTAACGAACTTCATGGCCTTGATGGTTGATGTTCCTTTAAGTCCTGGTGTTGCTTTTGGAAATTATTTTGTACAAGTGATGAAACAATGATCAATCGTTTGGTCTCTAAACCTATCAAATAATATGCTCGAGTTTGATCTAGACAGATATCGATGTAATGCGACTAGATAAGTTATTTTGTCATCCCACCCGTTATGTTATTAATACACATAGATCACCGTAGTTATTTTTATGCGTGAGATGGCAACATATTTGGAACTAATGTGATCATGCATATTCATATGACACCATAACATATTCAACTTGAATCATTCACTGTATACAAAAGAATTGAGCAGATAGGGTAGAGAATTTGTAAGCATGTCTAGTATTCATATGAGAGATAGCTACATGTTAACAGCTTTAATCTACTTATTGCCCGAACGCTTCTGTCTGACAGAGTCCAAAACATTGAATAGCATAATAGCTGTGCTAAAATAAAACACAGAATCAGCTTAATGTATCCTACCAGTTATGGAAAACATCTTTTTCCTGAGTTACTTGAATGCTTCAAGAAAAAAACACGTGTAAATCCTAATGTGATATCACCCAAATAACTTACCAATAATATCTGTGAGTGTGATTTTGAAAGACTTAACTTTGGCTATGCAAGATCATTGGTTTCATTCCCTACAAATATGAAACCTGTCGTAAATGTGATAATATCTCATGTTTACTATTCAAGACTAAATTATTACGACATGAATGAACATAACATGGTAAGTAGGGTATAATTGTAGAGGTAGAATTACTGAACCGTTTCCAAAGGGTCAAATATCATGATTTCCTACTTCTCATTATGACCAAGCTATTTGAGATAATATATACCACCTCGTACTATTTACCAAATATTATTTTGTTAGTTTATAAGCTTCAAGACTCGACTATGACTATATATGATTCATATTTTGTCTTTACATAACCCTTGTCCCTACCACTTGCCATTTCAATAACAGAAAGAAATTCTGGAGAACTATATCTGGTGAATAAGTAGTGTGATCTAGGCAGGTTATTCAAGAACAACCCATGAACTATCGGACAACCAACGACGAATATAACGGATAATTAACATTGATATTCAAACTAATAAGATCTCAAAGTTCTTTGATCACCTATTGAATAAATACAGTTCACAAAGGTTTTAATGATTTAAGGAGGTGATTATTTGTTTAGTCACGCTCATTACTAACAACCTTAGTACCACTGTTTGTATAATCGTTAAAACAGATCAAAGAAAAGAATTTTTTCTTTTACATACCTGTTTTTGTCCATATCTTATAGCCAATTTCAATCTTGATAACTGCATTCTTTCATTGATATCCTCTGATAAGGATTGATGATTTACTCCACTGATATGGCAACCTGATACATCAGCTCCAGTATAATGATTTAAAACAATTGAGAGTTCAGAAGAACTACGAGTTTGTGCTAACATATCAGTTGCAAATTTTTGACATTTCGCTTCCAATTCTTCATACTCTGTCTGTAAATAAATAATATTGATTATTGAATGGAATCACAACTATACAAGATTTGTGTTTCATTCTGTTACGTCCTCTACTTGATTACGGCAGAATACGATATATAACTAACGGTACTCAAACGTGTAGAACCTCACAGGCGCGAATTGGAAGACAGAAGAAACAGGTAAAGTGATTATTTGGTAAGAATCAAAAGAGTACAGAAAAACATGGATATTTATAGTTATCAGTATTGACTACAACATCATATGATTCAACCGATCCGCAAAAAGGTAAGTTATCCCATCCTCCAATGGTAGCATACCATATTGATATTCTAAAAGGCTTTATCAGGTTCTGAATGGATGGAATCTCTTCATCTCCTTTATAGCCTCTGGAGGCTTCGTCATGCTTTCCGAAGCCGTCCCAAAACCTTCTGTTCCTGTCTTGAATTGTCACAAATCCACTGAGTAAAGGTTTGTAATTATATCAATAAATGTTAGTTGATACTATCTTTGTTAAATGCAAATTTTTGAAATAGAATGGTAAATGTATCCTAATTCACGAATTTCATTGTTATATGAAAAGACCATGTCATGTATGTGTTCTATTTGGATAACTAATGAAAATGGTGAGATTATCTGAGAGTTATTGTATATCTCTTTAACCGTAGTGACATGACATTGACTTTGCCAGACCTACTTTTTGATTCATTATAGTAAATGTTTTTGTATTGTACCATTTAAACTTCATGCAATTTAATTTATTTATATATCCCCTGAAGTGGCTTACACTAGGTTATGAAATATCCGAAAATCTAACTCTTCTACTGATTGGGATATTACAAATATATTATCTTTATTGTAAATTTTGTTCTATGTTTTTAGACGTACTGTGGGAGAAAACAAAGCAGATCCCAGTGGAAGAAGAAATCAGGAAGAAGCACTGGAAGTGGATAGGACGCACATTGAGGAAAGCACCCAACAAGGCAAGCCCTCATATGGAATCCTCACGACCAAAGGAAAAGAGGAAAACCAAAGAAATGGAGACAGATATGAGAAAAATTAACAAAAATAGGATAGAACTAGGAAGGAAGGTTCAGGACAGAGTGGGTTGGAAAATTCTCGTCGGCTGCCTATGCTCCATTGGGAGTAACAGAAGTAAGTAAGTAATATTTTGTTCTGTAGAATATCTTGACAGTATGAACTTAATAACGTTAAGAGGTTGCATTCATTATAAAATATCCCTGGAATATATATTTATGGACATACCAAAATAGGTTTCTTTTTTTATGCTAAAAAATGTTTTATTTAACGAATAATAAATTTAAATCTACGGTTCTAACAAAATGCTCTTTAACTTCAGTTAGTCACTAAAAAGAGATCATACCTCGCGTTGTTCGGTCATTTATGATGGTTGATGATATTAAAAATTTAATTGATAGACTTTGGTCAGATCTGAATATTCAGTGACACGATATTGATTTATCGCTTACTGATGGATTAGTATCCCTAATTTTATTCAATATGATTTGTATAATCAACTGATCACTGAGTAGTGACAAACATCGTGTTTACCTAGTCCTTTAATGTTAATAAAATTCTTTCGGTCAAGTTGCAATATGACCCAAATCAAAGTGGTTCGACATCATGTGCACTACGTAGTACTTCAAACAACATCGTGGTAATTTTTCAGTTTATGAAGTTGGGTGACGTAGGTTTGAATACGATAGTAAGCCTTAGTTCCTTCAATGTTACAAGTACACCCTTCTGACAAGCAGTAATTAGAAAGAAATATAGGTTCTGAATATCCTACCGACAACTTCTAACCTACTGAAATCTCGATGTAATTTGCTTTCATAAACTCCATCTTGTTTTAAATTCAATAATAATTGAGACATTTGGTTGCAGCAATAGCCGGATTTAGGAGCTTCGGGACCAATGTAAAGATTGGTTTAATAATCTGTACTAAATGAACATGTAAAAATATATACTTATCAGTCATCGGATAGTAATCAGTATAATATCGTCTTGTTTTATGTAATAATTCTCAGTGCCCGTTCAGTATCGAATATTAAGGAAATGGAGTTGGGAAGCCGAGTCATTTATTCCAGTGACTATTACTTACTTACGCCTGTTACTCTCAATGGAGCAAAGGCAGCCAACCAGCATTCTCCAACCCACTCTATCCTCCGCCTTCTTTTCTAATTCCATCCCATTCTTGTTATTTTTCTCATGTCTATCTCCATTTCCCGGCGTAATATGTTCTTTGGTCTTTATCTCCTCCTTTGACCTTGGAGATTTCATGTGAGGGCTTGTGTTTTGACGCAGTTCGGTGCTTTCCTCAATGTGTGTCCTATCCACTTCCAGCGCTGCTTCCTGACTTCTTCCTCCACTGGGATCTGGTTTGTTCTCTCCCACAGTAGGTTATCGCTAATAGTGTCCGGCCAACGGATCCGAATTATTTTACGTAGACAACTGTTAACAAACACCTGCATCTTCTGAATGATGGCTTTCGTAGTTCTCCAGGTTTCCGCCCCATACAGTAGGACTGCCTTCACATTTGTATTGAAAATTCTGACCTTGGTGTTAGGTGATAGTTGTTTTGAGTTCCAGAAGTTCTTCAATTGTAAATATGCTGCTCTTGCTTTTCCGATCCGCGCCTTCAGATCTGCATCAGATCCACCGTGTTCATAAATGATGCTACCCAAATCTTCTCCGTCAATTGTGACTGAATTGGTGCATGCTGTGTTGTATTGGAGAATCTTGCCTTTCTCTTCGTGTATACTGAGACCTACTGCTGCTACACTGGTCGTCTTCTCCTGCATTGGCTGTTGAGTGTGCGGTAGAAGAACCAGATCTGCAAACTTTAGATCGTCCAGCTGCATCGTATCTGTCCTCTGTATCCCGTGCTTCCAGTGACTATACGGTAAACTTATTTGATAAATATACATTATTTTAATAAAATTATTCAACTGTATCAAGAAATATCCATCAGAATTCATGTTGCAATGCATAAGTTTCGTACAAAAATGTTAATGCAATTACTTTCGATGACGATATACAGCATAAAAGTATAGAATTAAGAAATTTTTAGAAAGTTTTATCACAAATCTCTTTCATTCGGAAATATAAAAGGCATTCAGATTGATGCCAAGTTACAAGGGACAATCAAAAGTTCATTATTACCGTTGTCCGTTTGTAATAATTAATTTGAAATGTCAAATATCAGCTTATAATTTAGCTAAAAGATTAATTTTAGTACCGAAATCAATCATTTCGGTTTACATGGTGATATAGATTTGACATGAATACTTTGAATCTTAAGTGTTGTGTGTATAATTTAATTTCATAACTCTAAAACTACTTAGCATTTCAAGCTAGAAATGCATCAAATTTTCAGTTGAAATTACAAAATGATTTTATTTAGACAACTATCGTAAACCGAGAATAATGAACAACGGTTTCATTCTAAAGTGGGACTCTTTAAAAGTGTGTCAATACACCATCTTTAGATGTGGGAATTAGAACACAAAGATCAAGTGGAAAATGCCCTTCTTTAGACCGTAGGGTTAGCCCCCAATGGTTCACAATTTTGATAAAAGATAGATATCCCTCATGACGAAAAATTATGATCAAGAAATGTTGGTTATTGGAAATGAACTCAACAGTGGAAATGACATATACGTCTTTCTATCGATATCTAATAAGGTTACAGATATATGATGTTAAGATATTCTAAACTAGGTACATAACAGATGTCCAGTGCTCCTTGATTTTTTACCTTGTATCTGGTTAAATTCATCACATTAGATAAGCTAAAAATGGCTAATTATGACAAATGTTTTGTGATTAGAGATTGTTAACTATATGGTACTTCTTGATATGCGGCCCATGCTCCATTGGGAGTAACAGGCGTAAGTAAGTAAGTAAGTACTTATTGATATACTAGTGAAATCAAAATTCATGACATTCCACAGAAGAATAGTGAATGATCAGCAATTGAAGACTGACTTTTTCAACCTAAATCCAAGTTAAAACTCCATATGAATATTTACTAGACAAAATAAAAATATTTGCATTTTTGAAATTCATTTTCTCAAAACAATTCACTATGTTTATCATAGTACCATGTTAGTACATTCATTCAGTCACTAAATCAAACCAAGTCGTTCAGTATATTATCTATCATTATCAGTACTCTAATCCATGCTCTATGATAACGAAGTGAATTTTTAAGATAATTTTCTATCATAACGTTTTTGTCATTTCATAAACTATTAGGTACTAGGTGTTTGTCTGAAACTACTATTAAGTTTCGGTATTTATTTGCAACCATAACGTTACAGGAGTCGAGTCTAATCTATGATCCTTTTTTTATATTCTTGAGTTCGAATCCAGTGAGTTTGATATTTATATCTTCATTAGGAATCACTTAGATTTAAATCTACCACCCATTTATTGGATTGAATTGCTATTTTAAAAAAAAAAGGAAAATGAACAGGTATTACAAACTTCGCTTATTTTCCCCTATTTACATCATGGACATACTTTGCAGTGTGATTGCCAAGTCATCAATTCATTAGAATTATGGTTTTATCCATTTTATAAACATAACTGAATGGTGAAAAATTGTATGTCAATTAAAACAATGTATATGAAAAATTTAAAAGTAAAACCCAGTTGCTATCATGTATCGTTGATTGATGACATACTACACTGTTTATTGAACTCTTTATTCTCATACGGCTCAGGATATCTAGTGCCCTGACTTATCAATCAAATATGTCAAGCCTTATAATTGCGATACAGTTAAGTCATTCAACTGTACTGAGGTAGGATGATTAGGCCTCTAATTCAAATAACGTTTAATTGTGGTTGAATAACTGAATAACAAGTGGCATTATTATTTCAAAATCCTCTATAATTTTGTTGAGAGGTATGGAAAATAGATATTTTACTAAAAATGATATCTTTGATCTTGAAAATGGACACTGATATCATCATCGTTTTCAAATATCCTAATAGTATTATCCCTTGTTTGTAGCTAACTATGTATGGTCATACAAGCACTGTATTTTCGTAGTAAGGCTAACCTACATAGAGTTAATCAAAAATTGTGATACGATGTTTTTATGCTACTATGGTTTGTTAAAATCTGCATAAATAGGGAATGTTGAAGTGTTGTGGTGTTCATATATAGGATTACAAAACAAATGATCATTGTAACTGAAATATGACAGAGAACATAAGAAACTGCAGGTAGATTCCAGCGTCTAGTTGACAAAAAAAATAACTAGAAAAATAAAAGTAAATCAGCCGGACATAACATTATATGATCTAATGTCTTTCATTGGATTTATGATGTATCTTGATACCAAAAGCTTGTCAAAGGGCTTATATCACGAACTTGAAAGATAAATTTCAGTTTCCTCCAAGAATTACACAACTCTACGGTTATTATTATAAGCCTACGATTGCTTAGTTAGCTAACGATTTAAAATAACTAAGTCCTATAAAATGTCAGGAAGAGGTAGACTAATCCAGTAGTAGGGCTCCAGGCAAATATGCCAAGAAGTAATGTCCAAGATATAACAGTCCAGTGCTTCCAGGTTTTCCATGGTGATCTAGCTTCAATTGAATCATGATCTCAACTATTGAAATTACTACAATCTCACAAAACCCTTCTGATACAAATAAACTTTATTTAACTAGCTTTTATTTTAAATTCACTCTTTTAGATAAATATCGAAGTGAAATGCTAATAGTATTTGTATAGCATAACACAGTACTCAACTTCATAAGTGAAGTTAGAGTAAATGACTAATAACCCAAATGTAATGGGTTTGAATAAACCCATAACCCTGGTTTTCCTTTACGTTAAATAATCATACTTACATAAAGATACTCTTTTCTATAACAAATAGAATTCCGTAAATATAATTAACGAAAATTACTGTTTTATTGTATTAAATTGCATTAGTTTTCAAGAGTTAACTTCATTTATGTTTGTAAGGGTTTGCTAGCGTTTTTTAGCGAGACAGTTTTCTACTGGTAGGGTCGCTAACTCCATGCCCAACCCTCCCCCTTCATCCGGGCTTGGGACCGGCAGTAGCCCCCGGAGGGACTTCAAGTGGAAGTGGATAGGACACACATTGAGGAAAGCACCCAACTGCGTTACAACACAAGGCCCCACATGGAATCCTCAAGGCCAAAGGAAAACAGGAAGACCAAAGAACACATTACGCCGGGAAATGGAAATAGACATGAGAAAAATGAACAAGAATTGGATGAAATTAGAAAAGAAAGTTCAGGACAGAGTGGGTTGGAGAATGCTGGTCGGCGGCCTATGCTTTATCAGGAGTAGCAGGCGTAAGTAAGTAAGGGTTTGTATTTTCTTATCATTGATATTAAGATATGTAAATGATCAACTTCTGCTGATAAATGATCATTTTGAAGATCCATTTCTATGTACATTGAATTATTTTGTCAAAGAAAGCACTTAACCTGTATTTAACTATCATTCAAATAAAACATTTTACATAATAGAAACTCACTCTAAATTCATTTTCAAGTTCACCCAACTTTTTCAACTCCCAACTTAATTCAAAAGCTGTTTAAAATCGGATCACTACTGGTTAAAATGATAAATGATGGACTTGTTAAAGCACGATATGTATTAATTCGTAATGTTGAATGTTGTAATCCATTTTCACGTCTTGCTTGTGTACATATATTACATGCACATCGTAAATCATGCGGTTTATAGATACGATCACCACGATCAAGTAATAATTTTAATATTACATAATTATCACGATGTGCTGCTAAAATTATTCCATTAATATCAGGTGTAAATGATGAGGATTGAAAACGTCCAAGTAGTCCCTAAATAGATAAAAGTAAAGATAAAGAGTCTAGATTAAATGTTACATAATGTGTTTGTGAACGAATTTGATCGGAAAAATGTAATATATACGTTTTAGAGATAAATTCACAGTTCGATGACTACTATAGATTGTTTAATGATTGATCTTGTGACGAATAATTAACATGGTACAACTTCAATGAAAACTATTTTGTGCTCTAGCAAAATGGAAACGATACTATATGAATTTCAAGTGATGCGAAATGTCAACTGTATTGTCAGTGATAATTACTTACTTACCTACGCCTGTTACTCCTCGTGAAGGAGCATAGGCCAACCACCAGCATTCTCCATCTAACCCTGTCCTGGGAAATCCTTTCCAGTTGTTATTCATCCCTTTCATGTCTGTTTTTATTTCCCGACATAATGTATTGTTTGGCATCCCCCTTTTCCGCTTCCCTTCACGATTCCAAGTTAGCGCTTGCGTCATGATGCTGTTTGATGATTTGCGTAATGTATGTCCAATCCATTTCCATTGTCTTTTCCTAATTTCCTCGTCAGCTGGAACCTGGTTTGTTCTCTCCCACAGAATTGTGTTGCTGATGGTATCCGGCCAATGGATGTTGAGTATCTTGCGTAGACAACTATTTATAAATACTTGTATTGTTTTGATGATGGTTGTAGTACTTCTGGAAGTTTCAGCTCCATACAGTAGAACTGCCTTGACATTCGTGTTGAAGATTTTTACTTTGATATTGGTTGAAAGTTGTTTTGTGTTCCATATATTTTTCAATTGTAGGAATGCAGCCTTTGCTTTGCCAACTTCGCCTGTAGCTCTTCTAGGGTTACTGTCGGTCCCAAGCACGGGGTAAAGGAGGAGGGTTGGGCACAAGGTTAGCGATCACATCCCATAGAAAACTAACTCGCTAAAAAAACGCTAACCAGAATAAATAATTCAAACCTTTTGATTAATTAAACTGCTCGAACAAATTTAATTGTGGTTCTCATATTTTTAGCTATCATTGAGTGAATGTAAAAATCATATGGAACCTACATAAAGTCGATCGGGGAAATATTTATGGTTATATAAAAGAGTCACATGGAAATAGATGTGTATCCATATAAATAAGGCTCCGTAGTGAACATCTTCCAGTCAATTATATGTAACCTAGAGCTTAACACATAAGTGCATCCGGTTCATGCATCAAAAACACGCTTTGATTCAATTGTTTAATATTGTAGTAACCTTAAGAAATTTCCAAAAGAATTTAAAACCTTAGTACAAGTTGAGTTTTGTCAATTTTTGGCCAGTAGAATTTTAATCTAATCCATCTATGAGCTTATCATCTGTAAATGACACAAAATTCACGAAACATGTTTCCATATTTCAGAACCATGAGAGTTAACTACACTAGGAGATATCATCACATAAAATTATCTATGTTAAATTAAAAGTTAACCGCCTTATTTGAATTCTTTTGTATTAAGTATGCGATTGTATTACATTAAATTCATTATGGCATGATGAACAAATGTGAATGTGAAACAATTTTTCCAAATACCCATCTATTAATATCTATTCAAATGATTCAATCCGAATATTCACTCTAATAAACCATTCGGTGGGACTATAACTTATGGACGACCTCTGAACGATACTCAAGTGACTTTGAGAGTGTTCACCTAATAACTACGAACAAATCAGGGTTATAAACCAGTGTGAGGAATTACAATTATGATTTACAGTTGGTGATTAAGGTTAGATATTAAATTTGGGGTTTTCATCATAAACTGACATCAGCTATAATGCCAAAACTCTATTTAGCCAAATGGATGAGTGAATTTGGCGCCAAAATCCGAGATCTGTTATACGTGATTGGCCCGTTCATAACTTATAGTCTCGCCAAACATTCCTTAACAATAGAAAATCTATTCACCTTGATTAGTTAGTAACAGCAGATTACCTACAGTAGTATAAAACTGCGGTGGCTTAAACTATTCCAATAATATTTCTTTTGTAATAGAAAACTTCATTTCTTTGACATCCATCTTATTCCGAACAGTATTGTCAGGTAAAAGATTCGAATTTGTTTTAATGAATTTTGTAGATTCACATGTTACACCTAAGATATTACAAAACACAGCACGTGAATTGTAAATCAGACTTTATTGTGTAAGCGATTGAACACATTCACCGAAACACATTCAACTAAATTATGTAGTACATGAAATGTATGATCTCTAGTTATTTGATTTGGATATTAATTTTGTTGTTGTATTCAAAATAAAAAAACCTAGAAATATCGGATATAAGTCGTTTCACTACAACATACAAGTAACCGTTTTAGATGAACCATATACGACATATCACCTTCAATAAAGTTCACTATCCACAAATAAATTAGTTTGATACAAACGTATTGATCAATAAATTGGTGAAATCACACAGAGATGATGATATTATGGTACATTTTGATTAGTTTGTCTATTTTGTATGATTATTTTGAGTTAATTTATGCAAGAATAGAATAGATAGGGAAAGAAAATTATGGAAATTTCTTAAGTTTATCATTTAGTCATTTCTATCTTTTTTTTCTTGTTTAATTATGGTTATTACATAAAAGCTCTAGCCACGAGTATAAAGCCTCTGCCAGGGAAGTTCTACTCACTGCCTTCTCGTGCCGGGGCTGTTGTTTACAAAATTGAGAGGACGAAATGCGGATGTACGGTGTTTAAACCGTATTGTTTGATATGGAGGATCTGCCTGGGGGAGTTGGTAAACAATGATTTCAAACTAATGGTGTACATGAGCTTCAGTATTTTGAAGGAACAAATGGCCTATGAACATATTATTGGTTACCGATTACCATGGGACCGCATACCCTGACGTTGCAACTCTGCCTTGCGGGTCATACATTTAGGTCGAAGGCTCGGAGGGTGACCACCTAAGAAAACCACCTGCTTCGGTTTGGCACCCGGCCAGTATCACGGCCCTCACACAAATCAAATGAGATTTATGTGGCGCATATGTATCTGGTGCCCCCTTGTAACAGTATCTATATGTTCAAATAAATAAAAATAAATAACATGTTAAATTGATTATTAAAATATGGAGAATATTAGTATAGGTTTGTTTTAAGTAATGAATATCATGAGTATCTCTTCTAGAAGTCATATGAATAATTCTGAAAATGTTGACATGAATAAGTCAATATTAGCATTAAATACACTTATATAAGTCGCCGACGTGACTATAATTTATAAACGAACCAATCACGTATAAGATAACAGATCTCGGATTTTGGCGCCAAATTCACTCATCCATTTGGCTAAATAGAGTTTTGGCATTATAGCTGATGTCAGTTTATGATGAAAACCCCAAATTTAATATCTAACCTTAATCACCAACTGTAAATCATAATTGTAATTCCTCACACTGGTTTATAACCCTGATTTGTTCGTAGTTATTAGGTGAACACTCTCAAAGTCACTTGAGTATCGTTCAGAGGTCGTCCATAAGTTATAGTCTCACCTAAGTAGCCTTAATTTCAATGTCAATAATTCTAATTCCTGATTGATCAATATATTTTGTTTCATTCAAAGTGATATTGAAATGGATAACCTGATTATAATTTCTTTAGAAGAAAGAAGGGTAATAAAAGAATACAGCTTATAGACTATTTTGTTAATCGTTAAAATAAAATTGTCTAAATTTGTGTTTAGCACAATATAAAACCCGAATGAACATTTTCAGTGATATAATTATTACTTGGTTTAAAAGTTTTTTTTCCAAAGAACACATTACGTCAGGAAACAGGAGCAGATATGAAAAGGATGAATAACAACTGAAAAAAACTGGAAAGGATTACCCAGGACAGGGTTAGATGAAGAGTGCCTATGCTTCTCCACAAGGAGTAACAGGCGTCAGTAAGTAAGTTAAAAGTGATTTTACATCATGAACCATGAAGGATTGTTCGGTTTAGTCAAATGATTATACAAAGATATCACGATACATAAATCGATTGGTGAGTATTGATTAATGATGTTTTGGCTAATTCATAGTGTTAATCATGTACTGTTGACCGACTTGCATAGTTACGAGAAGTGAAAGCAACTATCAATAAGTTGTCGATCAGTGTGTAAGATTGTTACAGTAGATAGCATGAAATCGCATACGTTCATACGATAGAAAAGAGTATCGTGTCGAGAAGAAATAGAATTAGATTTCTTTTTGTTTGGCAGTCATCAGTAAAGGGTAAACGAAATCTAAATGAAATGATACTCCCTTTAAGATAGGCCTCCATATCATACAGTTACACCCAGAGACGTTACACTGACCTATTTTGTTCAATGATGTCTACTTGTAGAGATGACCTGTTTGTATAAATTAGCCTGTAATTTGTTAATAAAACTACAGATAGTGCATGTTGTTGAGAACCAACTAGCACGAAATCTGATTTCAGTGCTCTTTGACGATTTCGTTGACGATTATTATTTTACATTCTACTTCACAATAGACAACTATCCCAACCACATCAATTGATAAAACTTTATAGCCTTGCCATTCTCTTGATTATTGTCAATCACTAATTCTTTTAAAGTACTAAAGAAGCAAAACAATACATTTCAACAACAACAAAAAAAAAAGAAAAAAAAGACAACTACTAACCCGTAAATTTTTTTTACCACCACGTTCTGCTTGTGCATGTAATATAATTTCTACAGCGATAACATTATCTTCATTAATAGCATGTAATATACAATCTTTTAAATCTAATTTTGGTAATGCTACAAGAAATTGTAATAATTCCATATGTTCATTTTCAATAGCAATACGTAATACATCACGTCCTAATGTATCTGTACAATTTAAATTTAATTTTAATTCATTTGCTTGATCCGTTAATTGTTTAATTGTACCTAAATCACCTTGTTCAGCAGCATATAAATATAAACGTTCTATATCAGTTAATTCCCCTTCAATAATTGGTAATTCTATATTATTTAAATCAATAGTTGTTTGATGTTTCAATAAACGATTACAATTATTATTATTATCATTATTAGTATTATTGTTACCAAGGGTAGTAGTAGTAGTAGTACTAATATTCATATCATTATTTCCAATTTCATTTAACAAATCATGAATTTGACGTAATTCACATTCATCTATACTTTTATTATTATTATTATTATGTAATTGAATCAATGATGTATTCCATGGATGTTTATGGAATGATTTTGAATTCTTTGAATATTTACGCTTTTCCGTAAATGTTATATTTCTATGAAATTGTTCTAAATTATTTGTACTCAAGGAACGTTTTGATTGATATGAATGTTTCATAGATGAATTCATGATAATTAGTTGTTTATAGTTTATTGATTTGTGTCAATGTTAAATTGATCATTGAATTGTAATTCATTTATTAGTTTCATAATTATTTCAATAATCTCTAAGTAATCTGAAAATGAAATTGGGGGATCTGTAAGCAAATAGGATTGGTTTGATTATGGTAAGAATGAATAATGATAATATGATAAATGAAAATGTATTGATGAATGGTTAAAAGAACAACAACAACAACAAAAAGAACCTATTGTATATAAGGGAATTAGTTCTTTGTCTATGAATATGTTCGACTTATGCATATAATTTAAGTAAATTTATGTGTACTATATAAACATAAGAATCAAACAATCTCAGTGACTAAACCTATGCAAATACCTAATTCACTAGGATTGGAATATATAGCTTGTAATGTACTTTTTCATATAGTCATATATGTTATATTTCATCTTATGTCTAATTGGTTTATGTTATATGTGTTCTTTGTATGCTTATATTACTATAAGTGTAGTTAATTAATTATGGGTTTATAAATTTTTCAACAATAAAAGATTATTTGTTCAAGAATATCTTGATAAACTTGATCTAAGATGATGATAAAGTGATCAACAGTACCTTTTGTTCATACTTACTTACTTACTTACGCCTGTTACTCCTCGTGAAGGAGCATAGGCCACTCACCAGCATTCTCCATCCAACCCTGACCTTTTGTTCATATATGGTTTAAAATGCTTGACATAATTAAATACCGGCAAATGCCCTAAATATAACGATATGATAAGATTGTAGGATCACAAGGGGTGAGATTGTATAGTAATAATAAGAATAACATGTATTTAGAAATACGATACAACACAGCATGCATCAATCTAATCACAATTGACGGAGAAGATTTGGAAGATGTAAAAACCTTTACATATATGGCGAGCATCATTTATGAACACGGTGGATCTGATGCAGATCTGAAGGCGTGGATCGGAAAAGCAAGAGCAGCATATTTACAATTGAAGAACATCTGGAACTCAAAACAACTATCACCTAACACCAAGGTCAGAATTTTCAATACAAATGTCAAGGCAGTCCTACTGTATGGGGCGGAAACCTGGAGAACTACGAAAGCCATCATTCAGAAGATGCAGGTGTTTGTTAACAGTTGTCTACGTAAAATAATTCGGATCCGTTGGCCGGACACTATTAGCGATAACCTACTGTGGGAGAGAACAAACCAGATCCCAGTGGAGGAAGAAGTCAGGAAGCAGCGCTGGAAGTGGATAGGACACACATTGAGGAAAGCACCGAACTGCGTCAAAACACAAGCCCTCACATGAAATCTCCAAGGTCAAAGGAGGAGATAAAGACCAAAGAACATATTACGCCGGGAAATGGAGATAGACATGAGAAAAATAAACAAGAATGGGATGGAATTAGAGAAGCAGGCCTAGGACAGAGTCTGTTGGAGAATGCTGGTCGGTGGCCTATGCTCCATTGGGAGTAACAGGCGTAAGTATTGAGGAATAGATTTCTTTTTATTAAAAGATTATTGTATCATTTGTATACTGTGACACAAAAAGTTACTACAAGATTGTCATTGATTTTTTACTGTTAGTCATGTATGACATTTTTAATCATTTCCAATGAACAGTCTCTACAAATCTATGTAAGGAAGTTATGATGAATCGTCAGATACTAATCAAACACAATAAACCTTCATTCCGAGGCATCTTTCTACTAGGTCCATTTTGAATGCTACTGTAATGAAGCCGTGAGCACGATACCGTATGGAAAGTTGATCAGGTTAATAAAATCAATTTTTCACGATGATGACACTTATGAAGTTACCATTTTTTGTAAATGCCCTAACAGATCAGATACAGATGCAAAGAGAGGACTGGCAAAGCAGGGGCTACATTCATACAATTGAAGAACATGTGGAACTCAAAACAACTTTCAACCAACATCAAAGTGAAAATCTTCAATACGAACGTCAAGGCAGTTTTACTGTGCGGAGCTGAAACTTAGAGATCTAATACAACCACCATCAAAAAGGTACAAGTATTTATAAATAGTTGTCTACTCAAGATAATCAACATCCACTGGCCGGATACCATCAGCAATAGCCTTCTCTGGGAGAGAACAAACCAGGTTCCAGCTGATGAGGAAATAAGGAAAAGACAATGGAAATGGATGGGACATACATTACGCAAATCACTAAAGTGCATCACGAGACAAGCCCTAACTTGGAATCGTGAAGGGAAGCGGAAGAGAGGGAGGCTAAACAACACATTACGTCGGGAAATAGATGCCTATATGAGAAGGATGAATTACAACTGTGAAAAACTGGAAAGGATTTCCCAGGACACGATTGGATGGTGAGTGCTGGTGGACGTTCTATGCTCCTCGACCAGGAGTAACAGGCGTAAGTAAGTAACTGAACAAATTGTTTCAAACGTTATCACTGCTAACTAACACGATAATGTTATAATATGTTGGATAACAATGATTAAAATCATGGAAGCCAAAAATCTCTAGCTCACTTAAACCATATATCACAGACGATAAAGATCATATTAATGTAATGTATAAGTCTAAAGACACGAAAATAATAAACTAGTGACGTAATTCTTGAGTCAATGATCATAACGAAGTAGATCAGGTAACTGCATATATAGATAAAAAGTACAAATTGATAGTAAGAAAACCTATGTAATATTAGTGTTATGTTATAATCAATAGTTTTACATAGGAAATAGGTCAAACTTGGAATAAATTTTATTGATGATTTAGTATTAACCATATAAATATACCAGCGTAATAAAAACAACTTTTTTTCTTATCAGAATGGGTTTTGTGGAGATTTTTAGGAACTTCAGTTGTTGAAATCATGAGTCAATTGAAGCTAGAATACCTTGGAAAACCTGGAAGCACTGGAAGGCCGTTTCGTCCTAGTATGGGACTCCTCAGCCGTGAGCATCCACGAACCCGCGGGATTCGAACCCAGGACCTATCAGGCGCTTAAACAACTAGACCATTGAGCCGGCATCCAACGGTGTTAGTGTCTAACTCCATCCAATCCACGAAATTGCACCACCGTACACCATTGTCATCAGTGAGTTGATATCTCACAACAGACCTGGTTGAACTCCACTGGTAACGACTTCTCACTAGAACTCCAGGAGTATCTCCTGAAGTCAGTCACTAGTGAGCAGGTGATTATTATTATTATTATTACTATTATTATTATTATTATTATCAGAATGGGTTTTGTGGAGATTTTTAGAAATTTCACTTGTTGAATATTTTTTCGTTAATATATGTGTTGTTCCTACATTGAATTATGGAACATAATAGAAAACTGTGTTTTGACAGTTAACCTATTGAAATCTTTTAATTAAATATTTATATTCTGGATTGCTAGTAAAGTGCAGTGACCAATGGAGTTCAAATGGATCTGTTGTCAGATAGTAACTTATTGATGACAATGGTGGATGTGTTGCTCAATTTCGTGGATTAGTTGAAGTTAGACATTAACATTGTTTGATGACGGCCGGCTCAGTGGTCTAGTGATTAAGCGTTCGCTTGCAAGACTGATGGGTCCTGCGTTAAAATCCCGCGAGGCGGAGTCGTAGATGCGCACTGTTGAGAAGTCCCACAATAGGACGAAACGGCCGTCCAGTGCTTCTAGGTTTTCCATGGTAGTCTAGTTTCAATTCACTCATGATCTCAACTATTGATATTCTCATTCTGTTAACCATAATAAACAAGACTACTTTAAAGAGGAAAAAGACTATTTTATGTCCCGACGAGAATAATGAATGGTAACTTTTGGAATCCGTTTATGGACTAATACTATACGTATATTTTTATCGTATAATTATTAAGTTACTAAACTATTCATTTTCGTGGCGCTCTTATTATGAGTTTTATTTTGACCTATGAACTGTTATTATACGATTCATCATTCTTGAGTTCTGCCAAGTCTATCAATTACTATCTCCCACATTGACAGCCACTTTTGGTTAAATCTTATACAAATGTTGTTTCCTATTTTATGGTACGATATAGTCTGTTTGGTTGGTACATAAGCCCAGTGTGTTTGAAATAAATAATTCATATTGAAGAGGCTGAGATTGATGTTTTGAATTCGAACAGGCAAGGCTAAGTAGAAAGTAGAACCGATAAAAAGATTGTAGACTGCTTGTACGGGTTTTATGCGTCATTGGTCCAGTCAATAAATCATTGTACTCTGATTGGCGGTATCATTACGTTATAGAATAACAAGGTACACAGATCACAAGTTATAACAGACTATTCAATATTCATATTAAAAAAATCACTATGCTAAATTTTAATATTAAATTATCCATTACTCAATATTCTATGAAAGATCATCATCATATGACATACCTGTAAAGTTATGACATACAATTAAGTAGTGTGATACTTAGTGAAATGAGTCATAAAAGTTTATAGGGTTAGTCAGTGAATCAATCAGTCAATCAATCAATTAATGAGTCATTTTAATAAGTTACTAATATATTTTATTTGATCGATTCGCTTATATCCATGTGGGGCAACAATAACCCTCTAATTTCAGGTATCATTGTTGAAATCATAATTGGTGTAGTAATAAAACAACTTAATTTATGAGATAATAGAAACTTGGAGAACTACTATAACCATCATCAAAACAATACAATTATTTATAAATAGCTGTCTACGCAAGATAATCAACATCCATTGGCCGGATACTATCAGCAACAGCCAACTGTGGGAGAGAAAAAACCAAATTCCAGTTGAAGAAGAAATTAGGAAAAGATGTTTAAAAGTGGATAGGACATACACTACGAAAACCACCAAACTGCACCATGAGGCAAGCGCTAACTTGGAATGCTGAAGGGAAATGGAGAAGAGAAAGGCCAAAGTACACACTGCATCGGTAATTAGAAGAAGAGGTGAAAAGGATGGATAACTGGAAAGGATTGCTTGGGACAGGGTTGAATGGAGAGTGCTGGTGGTCGGCCTATGCTCCTCCACGAGGAGAAACAAGCGTAAGTAAATAAGAATAATATCATAGTATGATATTTAACTGAAAAAGTTATAGGAACAATGTAAAGGAGGTGATGGAATAATTGTTTCATCATACTTTGTAAATCTTTATGATTTTAATGAAAAACAAAATACTGTTACGGTAAATAAATCTCCCAAATCAATAGCTTTGTAAGTCTTTAACATTTGATGTTGACTACATCAGTTTTAATGAACTCATCTAGCTGAAGGTGCTCGATCATGCATCCGTATCAAATCACGAGTAGGTACGCTGTGCTCAACTTCTACATGTGCTAGCCAGTTTAGATCAGTCACTTCTTGATATATTGATAACTTATCAAA